AAGCTATAAACTAAACATCCTTCCTAGCAAAGCCAATTAGATTGAGGCTGATTTGTTTGGTGTTGATAAATTTACCGTTTGTTGGACTTTATACCGACATACAAACTAAAAACTACACCAAGCCATAATATCCTGCGTTACTGGCCAGTCTCAAAAGCTATGCCAAGACCTTGAAGCATTCGAATCAAAATTGTCTCACCCACGAATACCAAATATTAATTTTTTCTTTTCAGCTCAAACACCTGTGAGATAAGCACCGTCTCAGAAAGATTTTTCATTACAAGCTGTTATGCTAGGGTTACCATTCAGATATGGAAGTGGGTGCTAAAGGTCTGCTATTCGTTTCAACAAACGGCTTGAGTTTATTCGGCCTGCATCCGTATCGATGAAAGGAGCGCTGCTTATGTAAAGCCATACGCTAATTACGCTTTACAATCTGGTTAGTTGACGGTAGTCTGTTGAAGCGTGAAGAGAAAAACATTGCCATGCTCGTCTAAAAGTTTTGAGGTTTCCGATACGAAACGCTGGATCGTGCGTAGGTTTGACGATCCGAAATATCAAAAGGAGAAATACGGTTCAGGAGAATATATAACTTTGGACAAAAACATAAGCAAAGCTTTATAGAAAACCTCAACCGTCCACGTTTGTGGTGTCAACAAATGCACAAGTATATCACTGACCGAAACACTGCAGTCTCACTAAATAACGGCGAGCGAAATTTTAACTTTGTATTTTGGGTCACAGTCATTGCTTCCGAAGACAGACATGTGACACTGTTTGATGTGATTCTGATCACACAAAAATCATGACTGGAGAAGCCAGCAGAGGGCAATGGCACGTATGTGTATGTTATTCAGCTGCGCACATTCGCACACATATAACCGCTAATATGCCAGTATCGGACGCCACGGATTTTGTAACATGGGTGATGGTGGGTACAGGTGAGAAAAACAAGTGGTCCAAAGTACATTGGTGACGTAAGTTAATGAATGAGGAATTATCATGAATTCAAGTTTTATCAAATGTCTCTCCCACAATATTTTAGGAAATGGGTGACATCTAATTTCTTCCTGTGTCGAAGTACCCACATATTTCGAACCTTTAACCTTTACAACATTCCATGCTGAAACTTTCAAGCCCTTGGAATTCAATAAGGAGCTTTTTGGGATTCCAGCTTAGGGGCCAAGGTAGGCCTGTTGCCACAATATGAGGCAACGGTCTACTCTGCAAGCATCAACTTGGTTTCCTTGGGTTGGAAAAAATCTTGCTTGTAGCCATCAGAATGAAAAATTGATAGCGAGATTTATCCATGCATCGACATATACACCACCGTAAACACGCATGCACTGAATCACTGAAAAAGACCTCTGGGTCTGACGTCCCGAAACAAGATTCTCTGTGATGAACTTTTTCTGTAATGAACTTTTCCCATTTACGCACAAGTCATACCAGTGCAAGACAAGAAGATGATACCTCCCACGGGGATAGAAGGTATATGGAACAGACTACCGGTGATACCGATAAGGTCCTCATTGATGACATATTTAAACATATATTAGACCAACACCTTGGCTAAAAGATTCGACGTCTAACCGCATACTCCTCGTCTTCCGTAATGATCCGAGGCACAGCGTCTATTTCCTGCAAACTTCATTCTACCCCAGCTTTTCTACAGAATTTTCACCCTTCCCAGAGACCCTCGAGGTAAAATTGGGAGCATGCGTATAACTACTGAACCTCCAGTTCCATACAACCTCATACTAAATACATCCTACCGGAGACAATAAATTCAAGCCACAAAGCCTGAAACTATCCACCTGAGCGCGATGGATAGCCTTTCCGGACAGTGTGATATATGTTACATCCCAAAAATATTGCCGATGAAACAGCTAAATGGACTTCATGTGTGCTGAAAGTAAAAAAATAAGTGCTTATAATTAAGGGCCGCGATGCACCACACAATGCACTAACTTTTAATTTTAATCTGCTTAGTAACTCACTGTTTATTGGGCGTCCGCATGGTTTTCTTTGCAGTGTTCAACAAACTGACAGTTATCAGGGATACTATATGCGCCTTTCTAGAATTAAACTCATTATCAATTTTTGGGAGACTTTTTTTACCCTGATCCTGCAGGAACATATTTGTAGCCACACGTTTATGGGATTCCTCGCTGGGGTTTATAACTCATACACGTTTGGGTTAGTGAGTTCAAGGTAGTGCCTGTGGCCTGTCGTACATAAAAATCCAGAATGAGAAACTGATGTACGGCATAAAGTATAGAAATTGTATATGCATATCACGTCGCAAACACTATGAAAAGCCATAAATAAAAACAGTATTTTGAAAACTGAATTCCACAAATTACACTGTACCTTTTGGTGTAAAATTTGGTGGTCTGAAACTGTTAGCTTCGCATTTGTTGTAGTTACATACTGAAGGATTGTCTGAGTTCACTCAGTTGCTCACGACACTACTCGACTGGAACTGTAGCAAGGGTATTTAGCCTTTACCAGTTTGTTCAGAAAGCCATTTTGAGTTCTGCAAGACATTCATCAAGTATGACCTTCAAAACTTAGTACTATAAAAATTAGAATACATTGCATTAATCGTGGTATAATGCTCTGAAAGATATGGAAATTTGAAGCAAGGAAATTTCGAAGCAATAAATGCTCCGATTGCACCTTACTGCTGGCAACAGAATACTTTCGTCAGGGACGGTATCCATCTCTATGGTCCACCATAAGTTGTTACGATATCGTGACTTTTCGTTTCTTTTTGTTGACTTATTTTGCCGCTCAAAGTCCTTTCTATTACACGACCTAACATCTAACCTTGAAGATATTTCGATCGGACCGAAGTTATAGTAAAGAACAGCTAGCTTTATAGCAGATATCTGTTTATCACGGTAAATTCTATCTCGCCACTCAGACTGCCTTGACCTCTCGCGTGTCCAGAGGCAGTCTTTGAGACCTGATTGAACCTTTATCGCGATTTATTCCGTCTCGATTTTTAGCGTCCATTTTACTCAAATCTCGCTCAATTGCGAACAGCAAGATTAAACTTTTGGACAGAAAATGACTATGTTCATTCTATAACCCAAGGAAAGCCAATCAGCCTTGATTAGTGAAACCGTAACCGAAGTCACGATTGGAACGAGACTGTACGATGAGGTACATCAAGAGTAGGCGCAATACTCCTTCATGTAAAACAACGGAACATATTGCCTCATTTCTTCAAAAAGCTTACATTTTCTCACACTTTGGGGGTATTGGCCCGGAATGGTCTAGCTGACTTTTCGCCTGTTTTTTTGTTTGTTTGTTTGTTTATGCCCCTCAAGCTTAACGTGGTTCTTGCTAATTAGCGCCTATGAGGTCAGTAGCAGCCCAAATTAAAATTGAGGATTTTAAACAGAAAACACTAGTTTAATCTGCAAACTGTGCAGAAAAAAAGAATGTTTCCTTTATATTAATGTCTTATTGAAGCACTTTGACCAGTCAGTTAGAAAATACCTGGTTAACTGAATCCAACAAGAGGGTGTGTTCAATTCATACATGCGTAATTTTTTCGAAGCAGTTAATTATTGCTATTCCTAATCAGTCACGCTAACCGCTTTGCATGTGCTGCATTACAAGCCGTTAAGGCGGCCAATCTCTTTGACCAATAAAATTTACTCGTTTTTGCCTTGCAAAACATCTGTGATTTCGGACTACACAAAAAATCGACCCGGCTTCGTTGATCATAAATATATCGTTTTAATGGCATCTGCCACGTTTTCACTTTTGGCAAATTGGAAGTCTCTGATAGAACCTTGTGTAGTGCACCTTTTTGAGTATTTGTTACTCATGTTACTTCTTGTGACAACACAACACAATCTCTTCAGTCTTCTGCAGTGCTTCTGTTAGTAGTTTGCTCAGTTACTGAAATGCAACTCAGTAGTTGCTTGCACATTCAGTTTTACTGACCGATTTTTATGCCTAGTAGGGTTTCTCTCTCTCTCTCTCTCTCTGGTAGGGTTTCCTCTTTTCAAACACGGATTAGTTAAGCTAGTGTGAGAACATTCCAAAAAATATCTACTAACTTGTTAGATTCCACAGTGCGAAATGTCTGTACACCAAATTCTTGGCGAAATGTCTTCTATGATCACTGGTATACGTTCACTTGGAAGTTAATCCACGGGTTCTATCACCACCTCGCCAATCAAAGGGACCATAACGCTTTTGCTTCCTCCCTTTTATTAATAATCCCTAACAACTGTGCAATCTGATCTCTGATTTATCGGTAGTCGGAAGAACTGAGCGAGTGCAGTTCACACCCAGAAATGTATGATTTTGGAAACTGCAGTCTCACATTACCCTAGCTCTGGTGACTAGAGTAATTGTCCCGCCTCTCACTGATCCATTGACAACTTTTCAGTTGCCATCCACATAGCATTTGTTTTTTCCTTGAAAGGCAATAATTAGGTATATTTGATAGCATTTGTTGGTTACGGGTGCGATTAATCGAAATCCCTAGATTTCGAAGGCCATTTGGCCGCTGGCTTCAAAGGCACTGAGCGCTGCAGTAACTGGAACACCAATTTATCCGAAAAAGGTCCATTTTTACCTTTCTTGAATTCATAATTTACCCCACTTCATTATATGATCGTTCTTTGGTTTGCCAAAAATATAACGCGTAGTTGTTTAATAGTGGTTATAGTAGTTTATTACTAACAGACGTCCCTCTTATAGCCGTTTACTTAAAGAAAACGCTTGGTTCGGTTCACCTTGTCTCACATCTCTTAGAGGCGAAGCTTTAGTGTTAGCGATAACGTTGCTGTCTTTGGCAACGTTTGGTCCAACATTTCCCGACTAGGTGCGGCAGCTGAATTGAAACAGAAAATGCTGCTTCTATTGTAACATATCCCTATTTGAATTCTCTTATTTATTTTACAGATGATAAGTTTTCCGAATCACTAGAAAACTCATTTGAGTGCAAACACAGATGCAATAAGCTCTGAGAAATGGCTGCCAAAAAACGAATTAAAAGGGAGGAGTCGGACGGCAAAGAAGGAGTATGCATTCAAAAGTTGTCTACCTGTCGTTCCAGTTCGGTCCCGTTACAGTCGGTTTGCGGGAGGCGGAATCAGCCATACTTTTACTGAACTGCTCTGAAAATGAGGTAGTGGTTTGTGCGTGTGATGCGCTGTACAAGTTCTTGTCAAAGAGTAAGTTAACTTGTGTTAACCGCGGTCGATATTCAGACGACAACAACAAACGTTTGCTTCTAAAACAAAATTTGTGCCAAAACTTACTACCGTTATTGAGCAGTGGTGACAAACTCGTCAGAAGGAACGCACTATCCATTCTTGGGTTAATCTCGAGCTTCAAGGACGCAGCAGACGCAATTCGAAAAGTACCCAACTATCTGTCTTTGTTTCGAAAACTACTTAATCCTGAAGGTAAAAGGAGTACCGCAGACTTATAAAGACTGAAATCGATTTTCAGAGTTTGACAACACTCGGGAGTTTACACTATTAACTTTAAAGAATTTGTGTGATGACTCTAGCACAGTTGGTGATGTTGCACAAGAAAAGCTTATCCCACCCATTGTTGATTGTCTCAATTGTTTGGACCCAGATGTTAAAAAGAATGCACTGGACGCATTGCTCAAAATGAACAAGGTAACCAATCAAAGTATGGATAGCTCTTCCGCCAGGATTTTGAAGTGAGATCGGCGCTTGCGGTTACATCCACTCTACAATTATTGCTTGACCAACTGGGGTCAGAGTTCCCGTCCATTCAGAATACCGCACTGTTGGTGTTTTCTCGGCTGACAAGCGACTGTAAGTTGCAAAGTAGAGCTAAGGAATAAACGTTGCACGCTTTTTGTGTGGACATTTACAAAGTTAACGAATGCCAGTTGTTGCGATCGAGCATCGAACAAAATCATTCAGGGATTAAAAATCCCAATCGATTTGACGGGTCAGCTAACTCCTAAATAGACCTTCTGCGGACACGTTTATTTGTGTGGCTCACCGCATTTTTACACACTGGATAAGTCTAGAAAGTTGATTGCAAAAGTATTTTCGACCCATCACCACACCTAAGTGTTTAACCTAATTGGACTCACAGATCAAAGAAAAAAAGGCCCTCATATTGTTGGTAGCTGTACTAACTGACGGACGAAACGTTATTACTTGGCAGCATGTTAAAGTGTGAGGACAATCCATAGATGGATGCAATTAGTTCAGATTGAATTTCAATGAAACAGTGGTGTCGGAGTATTGTGTGCGGTTTTTATCATGGATGACATTACCGTTTACACGAGTAAGCACTGTCAGTCAGCCTTTACTATCCAAAGTAATTGAACCGTGAAGCAAAAGGAAAACGAATGAAGACAATAACTAATCCGTGTAAACCAACCATCTCTTAAAGGAAGACTTACAAAATGATTTCTCAGAGGAAACATTTTCTTCTTTGAAGTTGACAAACAGGGAGCACACCACATAATCAGTGCTCCATGTTAATGAGATTTTGTTCTATTCGGATGTTTTTCAGCATTTTACTCTAATAGAAAGTGATATTTCCAGTTTCGTTGGTGTGGATAATCCAAGTATTCCTCAGTATTGCGTACATTTGAATATAAGATAACGATGTATAGCCTCTTCCTTGGGGTATTTCCATATGGAGAGTAGATAAGCAAATTGTTTTCAGTATTCTTCTCTCTGTCTGGAGGATGGCAGTGAAAAAAATCCGCACCTCACTATTTGTCACCTCTATGGGGAGGTTTTCTTCTTCAAAGGAGGGTTTTGAAAGTACATGTACTGCATCTGTATACCGCGGCTCTTTTTTGGTTAAGGAATCCTCAAGTAGTTATTAGAAGAACCTAGTAAATTCTAGTAAAGTGATCGAGAATGGAACTACCTGCCATATAAACAGAATTTATTTCACAAGCATGAAGGCTGCTGTATCTTACCATTAGTGGAAATCACAGGAACTAAGGGACACTGGTCATGGATGAGATTGTCATAAGTCTAGTAGTGCTGCAGTCACAGGATCTTCTATTCTAAATTGGGAAACACACTTAAAATATTGTCACAGGCCTAATGTGTAAACTGTCCGTGCGCACGATTAAAACCGATTCATGGACTGGTCAGTATACGGTCAAGTAAATCTAATGAGATTCATATACATTCGTTTTCCTATAAACGCTGAGACAGACATAGATTGGTACTAAGTAAGAAGGCAATCCAACCGGGTACATTGATGTAACGATGGCCGGAAGAAAAGTTAGGAAGGTATTAGCCTCTGGAAAAAGGTGTGCGATCTTTCCACTTTACAGTCAAGCCCTTATCCTTCAAGTGAACTCAGTCCATTCTGAAAACCGAGAACCACTGTTTAGCTGTTTCATCTTTATTACGAAACAACAGCAACGCTTATGTCATGAAACTCCACAGAGCTACCAACCACAGACTTCCTGGCTAGTAGTTTGAACAGTTAACCGTTTGGACGCGAGCAGCTGACTAGCATTGTGATTAACTCTCTGTTAGGCAGAATATAGTGCCGTTGATTATTCGGTCACGAAATCCACATCATGTGGCCGTGTTTTGACAGTCATTGAATGGCGGCTTCTTAGATGGGAATTTCGCTCATCTCGATAGAGTGTTCTTCCCCTGAGTTACTCACACAATGGGGGTAGTTTGGAAGACTCGATGGTTTTCAGTAAAAGCTTCACTTGAGTGAAGTCATTTCCATTTTATCTGGAAGTAAACACAGTGACATGTTGAAACATGGTCAAGACTGTTGACAACAGAGAAAGGTCAGGTCTAAACCTTTCATATTTTTGACTTGCTTTTTGTGCCTGTCATTCACGCAAGCAATTGAGCCGAACTAGTTTCATACGGGAGTACTAGATCTAGCTTTAAGAATTTGCCTCTTGAGATTACTGGTAATCAACCTCCCAGGCCTTTTCAAAGCACTACTAGGGTACATTTCTATCATGCTTCAGCGCCTTATAGAATTGCTCCGTTTCAAAGACCTATATAAGCGACAAAGATGTCAAGAGAAGGGAATAGAGCTGGTGACCGATTACCATCAGTCATAAATTCGAGAAATCATCGATAAATCATCATGTCGTTTGAGTTCATTTAAGTAAATGACCTCAGAATCAAACTAGGAACTCCAAAAAGCATAGCAGTTGTGTTCCGTTTATGAGGAGAATGCCTCTTTATCTCGGAAATTTTTTAAACTTTCTAGCGCTTGTTTGACTTTATTACAGATGGCCTCTTTGTACTCCGAATAATTCATAAGATTCGTTTTATACCATCATACAGGACGGAGTGGTGACCTGTGATTAAAACATCTAGATGAAACTCACCCTGTTACAACTGATTTCAAGTGAAGTTGAACGCGTTTCGCTCAACCTTCCTATTTACGCAAGCTTGAAGATGAACTGACACATGCTTTTAGTAATTCTGGTTTTTATGTAGGAGTTCCTCAAAGTTTTCCTATGTCCGAGCTCAGTTTATCGTCTGGCTCAGTTTTTTCCCATTTTAGAGCAAAAAAAAAATGAGTCAACAAGCAAACTCCTACATATTTTTATCCTAAACTATAGCTACCATACGGTCGCAGCTGCAAAAAATGAATGCGTTTGACACATTTATTGACCTACTCGGCAAGCCGGAATTAAACGATTTACACTTGGCCGCTTTGTCTGTCACTGAACATCTGTTGGAGGATGTTAATTGCGTCAAGGTGAGTGAAATTAGGAGTCATCACGGAGACATTAAAACACTCTTGATGCAGGACCTGCTTCGCAGTGGAAAATTGCATACGCTATTCCGGTTTCTCGGTGACCAAGAGGCTAAACGTGAAAGCGATAAACAACCGCAAGTTGGCGCTTCATCCACCAAAGGGAAAGGCGGATCGCCTAAGAAAACCAGCCCACAAAAAAGTCCACGAAAAGGTAAGTCAGAGTTTGAAAATAAGTTTTGAAGAAACATTGTGACAAGCATATGGGACTACTTACTGTACGGGCTGGATAGATGTAGAAAAATGATAGGTTTTTTGTCACGCAATTCCCCTATTTGTCTTGTATTCGTGTAGAACTAGTCACCTTCAGCTTTGGAAAATCAACACCTCATAGAACATGTTAAGGTATTTTATATACGCTGCTGTAATGCTGAAGTGCCCTACTGGATATTGTAATGCCGCATTCTCCGCCTACCGACTACAGGAGAGAAGGCAGTGAACCTTACGGGACCTTGGTGTAAGAAGAGGTGGTAAAGTTTCGAACAGCATGAAACATGTATGCGGAAGAGAGCAATTACCAACCCAGGAAATCTATTAAAACTTGCATGTGGCAGCTAAACAGGATTGATTACAACTTTGTCGCACGAGAAAGATAGTAATTATAATGACACAGTGTGTAGGTGCAAATGTTTGGAGTGGACACAGCCCGTATATGCCAGGCTGCTGCATAAATGAGAGAAGTTGGAAACAGATGATTAAAGTTTTGATTGAGTTAAAATAAAAAAACCAATGAATATACGCAATGGATTGCACCTGTCCACCCTGTGAATACGTAAAGTGTATTTTTATTGACAGGTTGCGTTTTATCATCTTGTATGTTGACAGAAGTTCGCGCGACGCAAGCAGAGCAATTCGCCACTGCTCGCAAATAGTTCAGCATGAATGTATTTGTCCACTGAATCAGATGAAGCTACATCTGAAGACGCTGTTGCTTTCGGAATGAGGGGAGCTCTTAGACGACTTGCGAGCGCTGGTTTATGTCTAAACTTTCCAATAACTTGGCTGCTCATGTCCGCGCGCCACTGATGTGCATCACACTGTATTTCCGGTTAGAACAGCCACGCATGCACACGAAGTGTTTTCCGACATTGCGCGATAACGCACAAGCCTCTTCGACCTGGTCGCTATCCTGCACTATGATGGTTTCAAGGGCATTCGTCATGAGACGTTTAACTTCCTTTCACGCCGGTTAATGTTTATTCAGCAAATTTGCACTGCTGCTCGGGGGCACCTTCTTGTATTCGTTTACTTTGCGCACTTTTCACCAGTGGCACTCTCGTGTTCATGTATATTTTAGGTGGATTGTTAGTCACGCCAAGGCGTATACAATTTCTTTTGCAATATTTTGGACTCTCCCTTTGTCAGTTTATTGCTTGAACTATTAGTCAGTCAGTTTGTTCCGCTTTAATCACTTTTGAGACATCCTTATACTTAAAACTATTATATTTTAAATGTAGCTAGCAACCACGTTGTGATATTGCTTTAGTTCACAGCCCGCAGCCAATTAAATTTAGGCGTTGTTTTAGTATTTGTTCCAATGAAGTAGCCCGTCAGTTTTTGAGATCACTCGTGGTTTAAGTTAACTGCATATGGGAAGCAGACTAATCGATATTAGATGAATGCTCGACTAAAGCATATGACAGATACAGTTTGTCTAAAGAAGTGTGAACAAAAATATATCTTTGTGGACACGACGAAGTTGCAACGGATATTCTTTGGAGTGTTCAGTTTACCCACACGGCCAGATGGCTGCTCACATCCCCGTGCAAAAGCTCAGCCACCATTCTGTATTTACTATTGGTGGATAGTGCAGTGAGCAAGTAACAGCAACGCGTCCTTTTTTATTATTAAAAAGCAGTTCACAGTACAGAAAAATACCGCAAAATTTGATGCCTCTAGCCACTGTTAATTTGTTAACCGACCGCAGTTTGCAGATTAAAAGGACATCCACGTTGAAGAAAGTATGGAATATTCGTCATCAGGGTAGGTGTGCAGTGTTAAATCCTTACATTTTGGCGTTCTGCTAGTATTTTCATAATTCCCCAATGTATCAAAATAAATAACGCATTTACTTTTTGTAGCTAAAACGCAGGAAGAAAAGCCTTCGGTAATAACTCTGCCCGAGACGAAAATTCACGCTTGTTATGCAGTCATGCGTGCTGCACATAATGGTAAGAGAGCAGATAATAAAACATTTTGTGTAAACTTCTTTCTATTAATCATCAGTAGACGAATTAGCCACTGGTTAATGTCACCGCCAGAAATGACCCAATCGAACAGTCCGTGGCGTCCGTGCGTTGAAGCTATCACCTACCTTGCATAACTGCCCGAAATAACTGAACATGCCTTCGTCCCTAATGCTTGACCGTATTTCCCGCGATCTCTGACTTTCCGGCGATCAGAACTGTAGCAGCTTGAACCAATGTGCATATGGTGCTCGATTTATATTTGATAAATGTAACTGAATGAACTGAAACGAAGTAAATAGGGACGAATAGTATGCGAGTGTGGAGATGCCAGTATGGAAGAGCATGGTGTTGCTAACTGACTTATACGCTTCAACTCTAGGTAATAACATAGGAATCAAATAGCATCGCTGCCGGAAGGTGAGTATGTAACACTCTCCTGTCTGTTCTTACATTTTCTGGATAGAAGCGGAATTGATGTACATATTAAATTCAGTCATTATGACAGAACTGGACGTGTAGCAACCCTCAATCCATTATGACAGAACTGGACGTGTAACAACCCTCAATCCACGGACAAATCACAGAAAAGTTATAACCTACCCAGTAGGTTTGCTATATATATATATATATATATATATATGTTCGAGGAGGCTAAGTATAGGTGTGTGCTATAGTATACGTGGGTGGAACTGGAAGATGATAGGTTAACAAGTTGCTTGCGTCCAAGTAATACACTGATCATAAGGTTGCTGAAATCCCTTTGACAGCGCTCTTTTTTGGGGTCATCACGTAGGCACAGTCCCTGGGTCTCCGTCAACCTTGAACGAAATTCGAGTTATACACTCATCTGCATACAATAATTATTTTGACAGAAGGCAAAACAATCCCAGGTGAGTCTCGCCTCAAAAACAGTCCAGTCTGACTAAAATTCCAAGACACGAACGCCAATGACATTGTTTCTGCGCCATTTCTTAGGGCATCTTTAATCAAGTATAGTCACCTGCTCTAGCTCTCCCAGGAGCCACTTGCTCTATGTAACTCAGAAAACGGGCAAGTATAGTCTTCGTTTACTTGCGCCATGCAGTTCGCCGACTTTCTGCGTGTCATTTTCAACCTAAAACGGCTTTTGGGAGTAGTGTTAGATGAGGTATACAGTGATAAGGATTCCATCTCTGATTCACGTTCACGCAACCAGCGCAAAAATGCTCGGTCGTGATATTCTTTTGGTGCATAGCTGTTGGGTAATGCAAAGGGAGCAAGAGGGTTGAGATGGTGCCAGGCTGCTCACGCCTAAACTCGAGCAATCGAAGGGTCAGGGTTGGGTTTGGAGCACGGACGCTTATGCTGGCTCACCTTAGCCGATGAGCCCGCTCGAACTCAACACCATTGACGCCCGCAAACCTGTTCCAGGAATGAGGTCAAATGTTTATGCTGTTTAAAGACTGTTAGTTTCAATATCACAAGTATTCCTTGCCACAAGCTCGGCAAATCGATGGTTTCCTTCGACGCCTAGTGACTAGTTTGTAATAAGGCTGTGGAGCCATACTCGACATACTCGACACGTAGTTTGCAACATCTATCGATTTGGTGGTAACCGTAGGAGCGTGTCCGTTCTGGAACTTAGCGTACGTTTGCTGTTCAGCTCAACAGTTGGAATAATTCGTTCAGATGTGTTATAAGATGTTCGTTGAAGCAGAACCTTATTTTCGCGTAAATTATGTTTAGTATCCAGATGGGTGTTCCATCATGACTTTTAGTCTTGAACACACCGTCAAGCTGTTTTTCCATGGTCGGTTCTGTCCACTGAAATCCGGGGGCGCTTCAGCGAAAGCTACCGAGGTGTTTTGTCTTTGCAGAGGTGTCTGTACGGGGTAGTCAGTTATAAAGGGCAGAATACTATCGATCAGGGAGCCTCTCCAAGTGTCTGAGGTGAACTTTGAGTCTTACGGCGCACGAATGCACTTGGATCCGAGCGAACAAATCCGTTCCAACAAGTATACCGAGCATGGCACTATCACCAGATGGTTCCATGGTCATCACCAGGGAAATCGATGAGAAACCATATCTTACGGCATCTCCAACCATGCACAGGCAGATCACGCAGTCGCCATCCTATCTCCTTCATACCCCTGCAGGGACAAAGGTCGACCATCACTATGAATAGGGCACAGAAAATGTCACCTTCTTCGGAAAGCGACTATTTAGTATGCGTAATACATGGCCTAAACACCACAGGTACTAGTGCTGGACACATTCTCCGAGTGAATGCCCTGCTTTCCAGCTGGCTTCTTGCTAATTTGCCCCCTCAAGCTTACATGAGCTACGGTTCTGAGACAACGGCTATCATAGACCTAATGACGTTTCAGTTCCGCCACTTGCAGAAGCCACGTCCTACAAAAACACAAAACAATCCTAACTACAGACTGATACACACGACCTTTTTGATTCAGTAATAGGACTCCCTTCCACCATAGGTGTATCAAGTTATATTGTAAGCTGAGTAAGGGCAAGTCCTTTGAATACAACGGATAAATTTCACACAACAAAAGTTTTTCTTCAGAAAGGAATGTTTTTCCTGGAGCAATTATCTTGGGTGAGGACTTGTGTCATTTTCCATATGTTCAGTAGACAACATGCAAGTCTTTTACATTTTGCGTCATGATCAATGTTTGTGCTGTTCCAGCTGATATTCGACGTGTGCTGCACGACGCAGATGTTGAACAGATGCTCGTTCATCTGCTTTCTCACGAGGACCAAACCGTCCGTTCATCAGCCGCTCAAGCTATTGCGGTTGTGTCGAGGAGTTCGTTATGTCAAGAAAGAATCTTGCAGCTTGGTAAATTGCATTTGTAGAAATAGTATTTTTCACTTTTGAAGACATGCATTGGAGGATCTTAACGGTCGGTCAGCGAGCTTATTGGCATTGAAAAATACTTAAAACTGGGTGGCGATAACCACAATGTACTCTTCAATCCACGCTCTGTTTGTTCGTTTCAATGGTAGCGAACGTTGCTAATTTGGTCGAAGTCTTCCCATTCAATTTTGTCAAAACGACACCCTAAGAGTGCAGGTAGTAAAACTATACTCATTCGGTTGGGTGTCTGTGCAAGCGGTTTTCTTAATGAACACTCTGTTAACTGGTCACTTGATAACTGTGTGCTATTGATGACCTGTGGTTTAATCGGTCGTCAGCATAACACTCGCGTGGTAACTGCTAGCACTAGTATGCTATCTTGTGAAAAGTGAAATGTACCTGGAAAGACCAGGTCTGTAGACCAGAAGGTTAAAAATTGGTGTTCCATTTCTCAGTTGTTTGATGTGCCCAATAATGTGTCACAACAGAGTAAAAGGATATTGTCATTGGTCTCAACGGCAGACTCTAGTGAATTCCAGATCAATGTCCAATTTATGTTTGTCATCAAGCAAATGTACTTCATATGGATCACCTCGTGCTTCAGTTAACACCATATTCGATATGCCGGTACATATTTTCCTTACATGGCACTGCACCACTGATGGGGTTATGTGGCACTGTAGTGGTAACAAAATATAACTTGTTACCTTGAGTGCAGAACCAGTTAAAAATAGTTCAGCTGTAACGCCGTTTTGGTGCCTAGCATTCATGCCACCGGAAGGAATCACGATGGCTGGGATACTGCCAGGTTGCCCAAGCCTAGACAGGGGAAGTCGAGAAGCAGAGGCTAACCTGTACAACATATTCAATAGGATAATATTATGGGCGAGGGTTTCGTTCGGGATTGGCGCTGAAGTAGAACAAAGCTGGTGCAAACCGAGGGACATAATGTATCTGACGAGCTACAAATCGGCGAAGCCGCTAGACGGATGCTGACGGGTTTTTATCAATAGTGACGGTAGGGTTGTGCTACTTCAAGGCAATATTCTGATCCTGGACTAGTGGAACTAGTTAGTTCGCTGGAAGTCTACACGTCAACTCTACCATGCGTAATCTACTCTAACCATAAATTATAGACGAGGACTAACTTTGTGCCTGAGTTTGCCCGGTAAATCCTCCATGTGTTTAATGGTCAGGCATAAAAAGATTGGCATCAGTGCGCTTGAAGCTTATGCCTGGACGGACCCAAAACAGATGTAGTATTTCCAAAGGAAAAGATTGATAAATGGCGGAAAAGTGCATGCCATGTTTTCTTACATTAAGCTATAAAACTGCTAAACGGATGGAAGAAAACCCATTCGTTGGCTTTTGGTGACAACATACATTTTTTCAAATGAAAGAATGAAGCAATGGTTTGGTAGCAATATGAACTAGTCCACTAAATTCCAAGCTTTTCGGCTGAGGATACTTGGGATAAATTTGATGAAACGCTGTTTAAAACCGCCAAGCTCTAGTGTTTTATTGTGAGAATTGTCTATAGGTAGTCTCCTCACCTGACGAAATGCCCAGGTGTATAAACCACTTCATCTATAGCCAAATTTTTTCCTTAAATTATTTCATTACAGGTGGATTGGAATGGCTTATCCGTATGACCTGTAGCGAAAAATACGAAACAAAATCCGCCGGCGCATTGGCACTCGCAGCCTTGACGACGGGGAATCCAGCCCTTTGTCAGTAAGCATGTGTCCATTCATTCTGATCTTACGGTCTCAACCAGTAGCTTATGGCATCATACCGCTAGGTATATTGACCTGAATGTCAACAAACTCACCAGAACTTTAGTGCTAATCTTCAGACATAATTCTGGCACTTGTGGAAGTATATTAATTCACTGAATTCTCTCGTCGCTCATGAAAAATCGAGAAATCTAATAATGAATAGAAAAGTACAACTTGTATTCGTAAGGCACTACCCATAAGATTGCTGAAAATTCTTCGACAGCCCACGACAGGTTTCGCCCTTCTTTGGGCGGGAGACATCACATACGAGAGATTCATGGGGTTCCTGTTGAGTCTCTCGTTAAACCAAATTTGTTTGCAAATGAGTTTATCTCGCTAATTCCGTGCAATTTAATTTCATGTGGAGCATAAGGAACTCGGGGACTGCGCTTACCTGATGAGCCCCAAGGAGGGCGAAACCGATCGTGGGCTGTCGAAGAATTTTCAGCAACCTCATGATTAGTGCATTGCGAATATACATGTATCATGATATCTCGAATATCGTAGCGACTTAAACATGTGGCAGTCGCTGCAGCACATTCAGTTGCCCGGAAACATCACAAACGACAGAATCAGCTGGGTTCCACGGGATTCTGTCGCAAAATCAAATTTGTTTGCAAATGAGTGTATTTCGCTAAAGCACAACCTCTAAATGTGGTCATATTTACTCATGTTTGATGTGTGAGTCAGGACACCCAACGACGTCTGATGCTCCAGAATATGGCAGTGATAAATCCGACAGCATAGTCGCAAGCAGGTTGCTGTTTAAAGTATCTTCCTCCGGATCATCAAAGGCACTAGTCTTTGCGCTTAGCATCCTCAAATTTAGGTGATGAAGCTTTATTTTATTTGGTGTTTGTAGAGATGCACTCTGGAAATTTCCCATTAGAAGTTCCAGGCGAATTTTGAACAACCGCTGTAAATGGTCTGCATACGCAGCCTTCCGACCAACCGAGAGTCATACCTGCCTTTAGCCTCAGGATATGGTGAGCATTTGCCATGGACGAAACGTAAGCCCTAGTCACACAAAAGTGATAAGGACTGACACGCTGAATTGGAAAGAATTTAATCATCACCATCAATACTGCTGTAATATAATTTTGAAATTATACATTATTTGCATACTTGCACTGATAATTGGGAATGACTTCGTGTGCAAAAAAATCTCATCAGTCGGAATTCCCGTGTTTAAGTTAATATTTTCAGGAGCCTTAAGAAGATATATGTTTCTTCTAGTCAAATGTAGTCATAGTATCACGTTTGTAAGCATTGCTACTATATTTTCTTAATAGGAAACGCGATTAGCTGCCAGCTCATCATCAGGGCGCATATCGATACTGTGTATTTGCTTCGGAGATACCTGTCAGTGAAAGTAACTGCCTTTTCGGCAGAAGTTACGCCAAAATATGATACGCTGATCAAGGTAGTACTCCTGTACAGGGCAGCACGTTGGTGAATGTCCCCAGCTAATGCTGCTTAAGTGCACGGACTTGGCCCTTTTGAGCTGCATGCATATGCAGTCATACAGGGGGACGAGAACATGTTTCGACCTAGAAAAACATTTAAGACATTAGTTGTTTACATCAACCTTATCATTATTTGAATTTTCACTTCCTTTACAAACAGTGAATTGGCAGAGCGCAGCTCAGGTATTGACTGCCTACTAAGCTGCCTGGATCTGCAAGACCCCGGTGCACATACAGCTGTAGTGTCCGGCTTGACTGCATTGACCAGTCTCGCTCTTGAGGAATCTACGCGACCAATGGTACTGCAGAGGATATCCGGAAAGGTGTTCGTTCCCTGTTTGCTTTCTGGGTAAGTCACAGCAATCACGCTTCACAAGAGGCCACCACAGGGTTTGCAGTGGTTTACTGGAATAGCTAGTTGAATAACACACAGAAGTACGACCAAACTCTGTCTGGAATGAGCAACAGTTCGACTATCAACGGTGGAGTTAGTTTATTTTATTCAGTATTTCCTCTTGACGCTAAAAACGTTGCACCAGTCACAAGGTACAATGTCCGTGCAAAGCGGAATTCCCCAGTTTGCTGTATACTGAACCCTGCGTATAACGACAACAATTGTGCCCGATATAGCGAGATTTTCATGTTCAAATTCAATATAAAGAGTTAAAGCTATTGCGACATTTGTTTGCCGATTTCCCGCATGCCGAGTTGTCGTAAGTTTCTGGCACTACTGCATTCACTTTACTCGGGACTGAGAGGCTGTCACTTGATGGAGAGAACTTTTTGGTTGTCTAAGAAGGCATCTGTTCTTTGAATGGTCGTTTGGATACATTCTATCTTATACAAAACAACTGCAAATTTACTGCAACCACCCGGCACACTGCTTTGCTTCCATGCAGAGTGTAGAATATTTGAAACCACAATCTTGGATACAGAAAGACAGTGGAATGAATGGTTATCTAATTTGGTAATATTTATTCGAACTTCAATTTTTACTTTGCAATGTTAGAAGTAGATGCTAATTTTTGGTCAACACAACCATATTGTTAGCTTCCGAGTTATTATTTGTATTGTCCGCCGATTATTTTTATTCTTTTACGTCTTTATTAGTGAAATGGTAATGAAGCGAGACGAGCAAGGGTAAATAATCATAAGGTAGCCGGAATTACCTGTTATTTGTTCACATCTGTCAGATAATATCTAGAGTGAAAAGTTTCAGACAATGTACCAGACCAGGTTTCTAAGCACGCCTCACACAATGAAGTCACTAATACAGGCTGCGTCGAGCTATTCAGTCAATGCCTTCTTCCCGATGCTTTCACAATTGCACGTTCTACTCGACCCATGCAGACGAATTCTGAAGCCAGAGGCTAAAATACAATACGAAATGTCTGAAGGATGAACTTGCGTGATCAGAAAGGATGGGCGATTTAGCCTTAGTTTCTAGGCAAATTACTCTGATATCCTCGCATAACTAGTGGTTTACCCAACCACACACGGATTTATAGCACACTGAATAAATCAACGGGCACGACATAGAAGACTTTGTCTAGCAGAGGATGTAAACCTTTCAATGGAGTCACACAAATTAGGCGCCGTGTTATCTTCCTCATTCAGCTCGACAACCGTACAAACCAAGGCAGCACTGGCAACAGCAGCCATGATTTGTGAGCCTGAAAAGTTGGTTGAGTTCTGCGAAAACGACGGCATTCAGGCACTTGTTCACTTGCTCAACTCTCCTGTCCCGGATGTATGCAGGTCTGCCTGCTGGGCAATATTCACCCTGGGTGCGGATTCACATGCTGCCAAACTGCTCGCTACTTCCAGGTAAGCTTTCAACATTTTCCGTCCATTCAAAGACGTGTGTTGATACTGTTGGTGAAGCTTCACAGTAACGCTATCTGGAGATGATGGTACTTCTGGAGGACGTAAAGAAAAAACATGAAGTTGGAAGACGTTTGGAATCGAAGAGAAGTCGTTTCAAAAGGGCATGGTAAACATCCGGTGGTTTTTATAGCTTTTAACACAAAAATATTCGTCAGCCCAAGTGAGTAGGTCAATGAGTTGGTCAAGATTCAAGGATCTCAAGCCCCGTTTTGATTCGCCTGCCGTAGATAACCACTCCTGCTCATGATATCAATGATGCAACCCAAATCCAACTTTATAATCACTATTTTGTCCAACTGTCTCGGGGTATTTTGAAAATCCCGCACCCATCAACTTTAAGATTCAGACATTCACACTATACCACCAGGCCTTTTGTCTGACATTCTGCACTGATTTATTGTGTTGTTTGGAAGAGATATAGCTGATTATTTATCCGTTTGTCTCAAAACATAGTCACCGTGGTAACCAACTAACTGATCTGACGAAGCTGTGTCGGAACCGAAATAATTCCTGATTAAAAGACCACCGGTCGTCCACCAAACCATTTAGAAAACTAGAGTTTTTTGAGGCTGCTACTTTTGTCGTCCGTTGTTTGCCTAGAAACAGGCCGTATCACGTGAATTGACGGAGAGATAGATAATTGTATCTGAATTAAAGTGGAACACTAAATTTTAGATGTACAGCTTACCACTACGATCAAGGTCATTGCCAAAGAATTGTACCGCCAACCCTGAATGATTCGTATTCGTAGGTTGATGAAAAATGCACTAAATTCTCATTTTCTGAAACATACACCATGATTATTTGAAGTGAAATCAAAGTCCTACAAGAGTCTTTTTGTTAAAAGTCAAGACAGAAGCGGCTTCATTTTTCCAAATGTAGAACACTGGATTATGTTGGTCCAGCTTAACGTTCTATAAGAACACTGTAAATTAAAGGAGTGTAAGAGGTTTCCTGTGTTCTTTGAACTAGTGACATCCGAAAATCCATATGTATATGTGAAATGCCATAAAAATGAAATCCTATTTTATATACCTAACATGAAAATGTGCCTGAGATATGTTAAAAGTGAGAGGAGCTGCACTGAGTGGATTATGTGCAGTGTTTGATCAACCGATGCAAAAACTCTCGTGGTTTTATGGAGTAATCTCTCGTGCACTTCTTTTGGAAATCCTTATAAACTAATCTGAATTTTCTGATAGAGTAAACAGATATGGGGATTTCACCCTGTAACTAAAGCTATTCTATGCCAAAAAGATGAAAATCACAGTATAACCGTTTCATCCTTATTGGGAATCGTCACCAGTGCGCATCGCATAGAACTCCGGAGTCCCTAACCCACGACCTCCTTTTAGTAGCCTGAACCCTTAACCGTTTGGCCTAGAGCGGCTTATCAGCAGTGTGACTAACTCGCAATTAGAGAGGATATAGCCCCACTTATCCTTCAATCACGGAATCTACATCACCTGATGCCGTTTTTGTTGGATCCTCAAAAGACATTTTCAGATGAGATGTCCACACGTCATATGGATCGTTCTTCTTTCTAAATTACCTATAGCGACAAGCTAGCTTCTTGTTTTCTTGATAATCCAAAGCTTTCTGCGTGATAAGCTTATAAAGTTAGTCAATTGTATTACATACTACCTAATCAGATCGCTGAAGGTAGCCGTCACACTCCAAACCTTAGAAATAGGGTACACGTTGTCGGAATCTGACATGACTATACTTCTCAGTATTAAAAGTAATGAATGAATTATCAACTGCGACACTGGAAGGTTTATCTAGATTTATTCATTCCTGACTAGTGTGCTTGACAATAACCGAACGTTTGTATCGGCATTTCCATCAACAGTGTGATTAAACAACTTTTGGCTATAAACCGGTCAGCTGCAAAGCGTAACCAATTTACTGCGCTCGCTTTACAACGCCTTTTGGACGCAAAGCTGGAAATCAAATTTGCACTGACTGGTCGTCTAGGTAAGTGGATTTAGGTACCATGCGGTAATTGTTCATTCACCTTAAACCAACCCTTATATAGAATTTTTTCTCTCACGCACGCTGAATACGGTATAATAACGGGCCTTATCTTAAGCTCAGGTATCACACTAAGCGTTACAAACTCATTGTGTTTGTGGATATGACGTAAACACGCTCCCGTGACGCACAACACGTACAGATCAGACACATCGGCCCCAAGAGTAGAGTAGACATTAGGTAGAATTTCTGCCAGATTCTACTCGATTAGTGTTTGAGCACTAGATGATTGTTATTGTTCATAGTTCCGGTTGGCGCTAATGTTTGCTAAGATTTGACATGTGAATGATATAGGTGAGAGGTCTCACGTATTCGCGCCAACTAAGGGATCTATGATACTGTGTCCTTCTCTTGCTCTTCGATGACACTGCCCAGGCGATTTTCGAAATGTTCGAACATCAACTATTGTTTTTTCACAAATGCAGTGTAGTCAGACAAGCGAAAGTGAGGTAGGATCGGTCTCCCGACAAGTAACAAACCTTCACGTGCTTTTATGGGAAAAGTGTTGGACTATCGCATTCTTTACAACACTACTAGTCAAGACCCGAATCGGGGTTCTCCAGATACTTGCATCACATAAATAGAAGTTATGACTAACAGTAGGAACTCAGAAGTATACGGCTAGGGCGAAATTTCCAGGCATTTGAAGGGTTATTTTGAAGGATTCAAAATGCAATCAAAATAGTTATTTAACTGTCAGGTTTTGCCCGTAGTGTGAATAGCATTTGTTTTTGAAGAAAGTTGTTTTAATTTTCCATAAACTTACTGTAGCGTGTTGTTTACACATAGAATAAAGTTGAATTCAACCTTGTTGGGATTAAACAAGAATTGATGGCCTTCCCACAAGTGTTGGATGTTGGCCCGTATACCCATCAAAAAAGTATTAACATAGCATCAGCAATGAATCCAAAAAGATTGCACAATCTAGGCGAAACGCGACGAAGATGTGACTAGTGGAAAACTACAAGCACAAACTAAAGGAGGCTAGTGTCATTATGAACTGTTCGTCTGTCCATCATACTGCAGAATTTGCTTGTATTTCTACATTGGCATTTGCACCAGTAAAGGATATGTACGCAGAAGTTGACCAAAAGTGAAGTCAAAATCTCCCTTGGGATGATGGATATTCAGCTGGCTGGATTAAAAGTACCTGTCAGTCAGACTCAATAGGGACTGCATTGAACCCATGCAAGATACGTCCAGAATCATTTGAAATGTATGAAACCAGAAAGAAAACACGCTCTGCCTCTTGGTAGGGGAAAGCAGAGACCGTGTTTACAAAATCGAACATGAAATGTGCATAATGGAGTGTGATTTGTGTACAAAAAGGGTCTAAGCCTACTTGTCTTTAAACTCCTCGGCTCCTAAAATCATGGGGTTCAGATTTCGAACACAAGTCACCTAGCTCGCTTTTCTTACTAACTGTCGTTACTATTTAATCCTCATTTGCAGAGAGCTTGGAGAGCATTCTTTTGTACCCTGGTTCAGCATGGAATGCTCTTAAGACCACTTCTTTGATCCAATCAGGTACCAGCACCGAAAGACACCAAGTATGAACGATGCTCACACATTCAACCAGTAGTGTTCCAGTGTCAATAATGTGAGATTATCGACTGCGACTGACGTTCTTTAGTAAGATATTCCTTTTGTCTAAACATAACAATCACTCAGTTGGATCCTAGCGCGTGAAGCATTGCTGTTGAACATCGAGAGGGGAGGATTTCAATCTACTAATAGACGAGAATAAGCAGTGATCCTCACACTCCTAAACTAATCCGGTCAAACATTCCTACTATGTTTTCGAGAGATTCAAAAGTTTGACGTCAATTCTGAAAAGCCCTGTCTAGTGATGTCTTGCAGTTCGAGAAGCCTCTTAGAAGCTGGGCTTAGGGTGTGTCGATTAGGGGGACATCCTTGCTGAATACAATACAAATGCAATGAGCGGAGGACAACATTTTCTGGAACCATGAGAAGGGGAGTATGAGATTCAGTGATACGAAGAAATGAAATACTTTGGGGTAGACGACTAGGCCTGTTATTTCCATGACCTTAGAAAAAAGCCGTAGTAATGAAGTCTCAAATTAAGGTCTATTATGATTAGGACAGCCATTCATGGAGACAGCAACCACTCCCACATTATGACAACGCACTGCTCACCTGTTATGAGTGGTTCGCAAAGAATCAATTAGCCAAATGGAGGGTCAGTATGTTGGTACTCCTTCAGATATTGCCAATGAACGGAATCCTGATTGATAAACCAGAGAACCGTATTGCCATAATGGCCCACATACAGTTCACATTGAATTCATATCGGGATTGAGGAGCAGTGGTGATGTAAGCTCATAGCAGGTACAGAATCTTCAAATAGGATGTGCAAAGGAACCTAGAAGGTGAACTGCTGCGGGATTTGGTCAAAGGCGTCAAAATGCAGCGCTTCGTTAATCCACACTGGTAGTCATCGCGCAACGCGACGTGTTCAGCTTTGCACCGAGTTGGAAACTGTCTTAATTGTGCTTCATACCCTCTCCGACACGTGAGTTCTTCCCTGTACTTTCCGCAAACTGCTGCTTTCGGTGTCGTGTGTCCAGTTTTAATGACTTACGTTAAAGCGCGGAAAAATCGGAAACATTTGGTAGTGGTCTTCTTCACAATATAGAACACAATACAAAACCCTACACCAGCATAGATGAACAGAAGATAATGAACAGACCAACAAGATACGTAGGTGAATATCAGTTGCCCGCGAAAGGCTCAGAAGTACCGGAATGAATACGAGGTACGAGACAAAAATGCAATAGAAAGCGGCTAAATTTTCAAGTTAAAATGTGATCTCAGATAGGCATAGCTGGCGATAGGGCTGGAAATTCGATCCGGATAATATCATCCGGAGAAGCGGAAACTCATGAAAATAGCGTTTTACAAATAATTTGACGCAGCAGGCAGGAAACAGTCACTCTAGCTGGCTTCGCGGGGACACACTGTAGTGGGGTTTGGTCGTTTCCTGTTTTTTTTTTCACGGCCGGTTGCAACTGTAAATCCACTTTACTGGGATTAATACATGACGCAACGCTAACATTCTCTTCATCACGTGATACAGTGCTAATGGCTGTATAATCTTAAAAGGCTACTTTTCCAAAACACTCGGGAGTTGGTTTTAACTTTTTAAATTTTACTTATTCTTGGACACACAAGTGGAAATTAGTAAAACATCAAAGAATATTTCAGCGAATTGCCAAAGCGAGCCTAATTATTCGATACCATCATCAATTTCTGAGGTAATCCGTGATCTCTAGGCAAAATATAAACAGTTCATCCAACCACACTCTCACATATACTTTTTAGATTTTTCTGATCAAATTCAAAACCAGTTCTACGATGTGGGTGCTGTATTGTCCGTTTCTGACGTTCTGAGCCTACCTGATTACATGGAACAAACGCTCAACGATAAACGACCCATTTATGTGATTAGTATCGGAGAAAAGTAGGTTGATTCTTCTGGAAATTATCGCAGGATTTTTAAAGTAGTCGCTATGTAGATTTACATTGTATATTTTGGAACTAAAACAGTGAGACGGAATTCTTCGTTTGTACCTTGTCGAAAAGTTATTGAGTAGATTCTGTGTTTTAATGATAGATCAAAGTTGACTTCAACTGTGTGCCAGCTAAAAGCTCTTGTCGAACCCACAGTGACATTTTGTGTACCTTGAGAAGATTAATTTCCAGGATCTCAGTGCCGTGTTATAGTGTTTCTTGATGTGACGGGTAGAAGAAGAATGACTCTCATAGTCATCTGCTGAAGTTCTCATGCTTTCGTCTCAAATCAGTTGGTTAAGTGTTTTTCAGTTGACGAGCACAGGTTAAGGGAACAAACCGGTGATGAGTCCCTCCAATTAAAACACGCTCAGAGCTTCTGGTACCTCTCAAAGCATAACCCGAGACCATTTTCCTTCAAAGATGTGCTCCCGAAAAGATCCATTTTAATATTTGAATTCTTTGTACACTGTACGATACTTTGTATTTTTGTACGTGCCCCGAAATTTGCTGAATCGTGACTGACATCATACAACTTTTGTCGGGTATCCGGACATTTCAACAAATTAGACTGGCATGACAGTGCCAAAAGAATATAAGATACAAAGCAAGTAGAATAAATATTACATTACCAAAACATAAAGTGAATTGGACTTCAATTAAAAAACGCAGACGCTTGAATCAGAAAACTTCTGAATGTAGCGGTCATAGAAACTGTGAGATTAGTTACTATCGCAGTTGGGGGCCACTGTTCTGCTTCTTTCTGTGGATTCAGCTGCTTTGTTAGTCACACACCCAAACTCTGGATGAAAATGACAGATTTTGGTCCAACTCTATAGGTGATACAGATAAGAAAAAACTGAACAATACTTGTTCGTCATTTGCAGTATTTTATAGTGTAGTTAAACATTGCTATCATAAACCTCACACCGTTTCAATATTTTTACTGATAAAGCGATTATAGTAGGTTGTGTAGCCATCCGTGTTTGATATGAACAGTGACCCTGAACTGATGGGACAACAGACGATGATGAAATGACATTGAAATTAAAACATGTGCACTTATAGTGTCTTTTCTGGCTATTTTATGTACACCTGCGGTGAGCTACTACAAAAGCACAAAAACTAACTTGTCATTGAAATCTTTTCTTACTACAGTCACTCGGATGAGGATGTTTTTCAGCAAGTTGCAGTTGCTGAGCTCCATGACGGTGATACGATTGAAAACAAAACGTTGCCTGCTGGCGTGCTGACAATGGCCGTGGATGACCGCTTAGTTCAGTGGCTGGAGCACGTCAGAGTCCATATCGAGCCACTGACAAATCCACGACAGCAATTTTCTGAATTAGCAGAGTAAGCATAGGAGATATCCTCAATATCGTCTGGTCATGTCAGCATAAAACATATATTAAACCTGAGTTCACTTCATGGCATCGATACTCGTTGTGAACCAGTACCCATAGACGCTGCTCGTGCAACAGTACTCCGCACATCAGCCTGGAGTGTGGTTATTGGAATCATCATCCGGTATCCCAACACTCCTGTATAACTTGCTTGTTTTTGCTCATTTAATTTTCTATCACAATCAAATTGATAAAAGTCCAGGAATGAACCTAGAATTCCTGTTATCAGTTTGGGTGGTTCGGGGAGTATTCATGTGAAGCTGATAAGTTATTGACCGGTGGACATGGTTTTTGTTCCGAGGCTCAAAATCCTCTTTCTCCTGGGTCTAGATGACATGTCCACAGAGCTTTTGATTCCACAACTTTTCACGCATTAAGCGTGACTGTGCCATGATGATGGGAAAGTTGTGACTACCCATGTAAGACTGCATAGCAGCCGCGCTCAACTGGTATGTCATACCGAAACCTAGTCAAGAGCTCTCCAACTGGACACGGGAAAAGAATATTTTTGTTTTTGCCTAGACTTCCCCCAGATATACATTGAAAATGGAACCTATATCAATGGTCTAAAGAAATTTATAGCAGGAACGTGCATTCTTACACTCAAATAGGCTATCACGTCACCAAATGTGTTTGCTGTTCACTTGTGTATTGCAGACTAGCCATCAGATATATACTTCGGTGTTTAAGTTTGCTGAACTGAGTAACACAACGTCACGTGGATGATAAATTAATGCTTAGCAAGGCCAGATGTTTTGATCACTAGGCAAGGGAATATAGTTGTTGTACCGTACTGATTTTCGATCATAGTGGATGCGTGGTTGGAGTGTTATTGGAAACCATTTCAGCCTACTTACTGGTTCAAAAGCTAAATGAACTATCGGACTTACTCTGACCAAGATCCTTTACTTATCGTCGTAGGCCACCAAGAGCCACTGGAGCTCATGACTGTCACTTTAAGATTAATAAATTTACTCAGTGGCGACTTCTTCCTGTGTGAGAATGTCGATTGCAATAATGCCATGGTTCTCTCTACCCATGATGGACGGTAGATAGAAAGCGGAGTTGCGATCAATTTTGGAGCCCGAAGACGATACACAGCGATGACACTACACATCGATTTCAAGTACACTGTTTAGTTTAAGAGCTAACATGTAACTTCGCTAAATAACGGTCGTATCCGCCAGGAAAAAACCACGGGCAGTGTTACACGAATGTAAGATGAATGTAAGGACGTATAATTTCACCGACAGTCACCGCAGACCAGACTTCTTTGTGTTAATTGTGCTTGCCCCATTCGGTGGTTTAGGATACAAATGTAAGTTGAACATTTCTGAGAAACACTTTGAGGCGCATCTACCATAATTGCGGCTGCCTAGGTGTCAGTTCTACAGGGATATCAGCCTACACTGTGCGTAACTCCATAAATGTTTCACCTCAAGTATCAGGACATTGAATCAGAACCAGAGGTGCAACTTAGGTGCCGCTGATCGTCAAAACTCTTTTTAAGCTTGCTCTGATTCATATCGACCAACAGCGGCAAGAACACTTGGAAGAGATTACAATGATGCCACATACGAACCATGTCATCCGTCGCAATCTGATAAATATTTTGTTTTCTCTATGTAGGTTTGTTGCATCTCAATATGGTGGCTGTGTGAAGTTGGAAGATTTAGAAACATTCCGTCCGGAGCTGGCTTTAGCGGAGCTACGCGCTCAGCGAATGTCCAATGTAATTCCAATCGGAACCATCAGAATTGGAAATCAACTTCACCGAACCTTGCTATTTAAAGTAAGTGTTGCAGACTAACGGTGATAACGCAAAAACAATTACCTCTAATATTCTCGCCAATGCACGTTCCTTTCTAACACGGATTACCTCACTGAAAAGAGATATCGCCGGTAAATCACGTAGATCAAGATTGTTAAATTTCTAATGGACTGCGATAAACAGAATGTGTAGTTTGGTTGTGCTTTGGTCGTTTTATGCTGTTTGTCCCACAACTGCAAACTCTGGCCTAAAATTCGGCTACAAATTGATAAAGGCTACTTACAGTTTCTTGCAGACCAAATTGGACTGCCGACGACATTGGTACGTGGAAACTACGGAAGATCCTATAACGAAGTCGTGCTGGAAGACAGAAGCGAAGTAAGCGATTTCAAATGAAAGAATTCTGCAGCGGCGGCGTTACATTTTCATTTTGTGATTAGCTTTTAGTCTGATACTGGGGACGGTCACCGTAGGCATCCTCATAACCTATAACGGTACAAAATTAAGTTGTTGTTGTTTGGTGTGCCCACTAAGAAGGCAAAGATTCAGATACGACAAAAACTGCCGGTTACCAGGTGCTGTCTAAGGAATGAAAAAATGCTTAATGCATGAAGAACAAAGGGACTAACGAGAAGTTTTCCACTTCAGAAAATCATGGATCCTAAGCTTGATCTCCTATAGTATGAACCAACATAAAAGTAGCTAAGAGTAGCTAAATTAATCCCCCAAATCAGGATGTAGATACACTACACACACTACGTAGGGGTGGTCGAAAAACTAACATAATTATCTTCAGATAAGTACTTACCAAATGGTAACTAGCTCTATTTTCGAAAGTGTTGATTTTAGGTTTTTGCACTTATGAAAGAGATACGTGAAAGTACAGTTTAGGGTGCTTTTGCGGCAACACTACTCTGCCCGAAATTCAACATTTTGGTCGGAATACAGAACAAAGCTTTGAGGACAGCAGGCTCACAAACCTAACTTCCTGCATATATGACAGCTTAACATATCTGGTAATCAGGTTTACAGTAGAAATTACAATGCAGCCCGATAGATCGAATCCCGATGCACGCGCTAGAGGAAAGGGAAAAATGACAGTCTACATTTTCGCTGATTTAAAGGTCAGTTTATTGACCTTAGTGATCAGGGAAATATAAGGACTTATATCTTAGTAATCGCTGTTGACATGGTTAAACCGATAAGCACGAAACATTCTCAGCTAATTTGCTAATCTAGGCATGTTATTTGCAACTGGTAGGCTGTACAGCCAGGATCCTTTTTACATTGTCACAAGATGACAGGTAAAGTTTCGGCTTTTGAACGTGGAAAAGGGGAATTTTAAGAAATTTGATGATAGCCCTCTTGGCGAAATAACGTTACCACAACTATAATCATTTGAATTGTCTTTTCGTGTTCCCGACCTAAAGTGTTCACCTTGTCCTGGTGGTCGGGCTTCAGTGCTAAAATGATCCCGAGAGTTACAGTGACTGGAACTCAGTTCCGCAAGGTTCAATAACACCGGGAATTCCGGCGGTGAACAGCCTGGAGAAGAACGGCGGGTGTTCTGACGAGACGGTCTGATGGTAAGGTCGTACTCTCCCTTCGATGGGACTATGAAGGAAATAGGGTGCTTTTATTCAGGCGATGAGCATCGCCTAGTTATGTAGGCAACGATGCTAAATTCCCCAGAAGAAGGATGGGTTTGAAAAGGTTCTAAAAACCGCAAAGTTCGATCGACAGTGACCACAAGCATATTATTCAATACGGTCGAATTAATTTTGAAACTAAAGTCTGGCGCTGTTTAAAAGGCACCTGCTGTGCGCAGTGGCATTGGGGGTGAGACACTAATACCTTAGTTTCTGCGTCCTCGGGCCAGGCCGGCCTCTTGCAGCCAACTGGGTTAGACTGCAGAGTCACTGGCTCCCTCCCTACCCTAACATCTGTTGCCTCGCGGTCAGACTTTTGAGTTAGGAGATGGATGCGGGGGCCTTGAACAGAACCCTTTATCTTCCCACTGCCTTGTGGGTTAGAATTTTGAGTCAAGGGCCCAGGATGTGGTACCTCAACCGAGCCTTCTTCTTCGGCTTGGGCAGCTGGGAAGTAGCTTCCTCCTTTGCAGATCTTCGCTCACCTGCACTCTCCACAAACCCCATGCATATCAATCGAACGATGCAGTGCGACTAGTCTATCTGCCAGTCCACTAGCCATTGTTAAGTGTTTAAGGGGGAGAGACGGCTCAGTGTTCAGAACGCGATTTACTGACCAGAATGTCCATGGTTCGAACCCAACATCTGTCTCTCAACTTCCCCTGTATAGAGTTAGGCAACCTTGTAGTATCCCACCCCTCCTACTTCCTTTGGATGGTGTGGAAGCCAGGGTGCTACAGCTGTACGATTATCTTCTTTTATCTGTTCCGTGTCAAAACCGTCACCCAGAAAAATATAAAAACAATCACATACTAACCTCGAAAGATCTGATCCACGTCGCAGCCCTGTTGCATCATGGGTGGCCGTCTATGGGTTACGCTTGCACTGGGCCTGCCAGACTACGCGATAGGGAGAAGACAGGGAACTGGGGACATGGCTGTATTGTCAGGACAAAACATACAGAGCGTCTTCGTAATATATAGGATGACTAAATGGTCAAATATGGCCGTTCACTTGTTCGTTCCGTACAGCCAATGGTGGTGTTCCGGTCGTGAACAATCTCAGGCATACTACCCTGGTCGCATGTTGCTAAGCCGTGTTTGGTGCGAGCCGCCAACTCACCTACTTTCCGGAATTGTCGTACCGATGACCTTCGGGATACGTCACTCTCTGCACATGTGCTTTTACTTCTGTCTGGGCCGTCCTGACAAGCCCTCAAAGTGTATACTCTACATCAACTCTTGCTGAAATCTTGCTTCCCCGATGTGTCGATGTATGTATATCCCTGAAAGACAAATGCAAGAGCCCACCTGGGTGAAGCACCTGAAACCGCTCGGGATGTGCTTAAATGTTCCACATTTCACTCTTCGCGTATCCAGTGAGCTTGAGGCAATAACCCGTGGCGTCTACGGTGTGGGAATTGCAGTCGGACCCAAAGATAAAAGCGCTTACTGAATTAGATCCCAATAAACAGTAATCTTTGGACCGTGTAGTTGGATGATTCAATTATGATCAATACATTTCGATGCGACAAGCGGTGTTTATTTGTAGTATCAACAGACTGAGGTCCGTCGGAGAGTGAGGACGGGTTTTATCGAGATCTGTCACGAATGCTTCGGTTAGCAATAAGGACGGATATGGTAGTCCTGGTGGGTGATACGAATGTCCAGTTTGAACGACTAAGCACCGAAAAAAACACAATTAAGTGACAGATTCGGAGCCGATGCTGGACGCACGGATAATGGAGAACAACTGCTTTGGTCGTGTCTGTCCATGGCAGGTACAAACTTCCATCACTAACCTTCTGATAGAGTTATTTGAGAGCCACAACCGCAAGAGAGTCATGGACTCAACTGGACCATGTGGCTCGCAGTTATGGATAGATATTCTCAATTAAAGGTTGACGTTCCTTCTGGAGTAAGCAACTTGACTCCAATCGTGCCACTGTGTGAGCCCGGTTATCACGCATTACGCGTGCCACAGCGGAGCAACCCTATTAGTCAAATTCGACAAATTTCAGTAGCACAAAAGTATCGACCTGAACTGGCTAGAAAGCTACTGGAATCACAGTCATGCGGATGATGAAAATAAGTGTTAGGGAAACGATATGCGAGAAAGACAGAACGCAATTCACTCACAAAGTGGTTATCTTGAGTGATGGGCTGAACACTTCAAAGGACATTTCAGATGGTCTCCTTCAACACAACCACTGTAAGAACACAGTGGGGCCGAATGGAATCCGCCCAAACGGGCCCTCAAACGACACCAGAAACCCGGTGTAAGATAGCATCCATTTAACGCGACAACTCACCTGGCTCAGACGGTCCGCACCCCACACTTTTCAAAGAAGTTGACGAGGTCCTAGTTAACAGTGTGACGGACATACTGCAGAAGATTTGGAACGAAAACATAATACCAGTGAACTAGGGTGCCTCGACCGTCATCCGTCTTCAGAGGGCGCAGGGAAGTCATGCGAAGACGACCGTGGCATCAGCCTGGCAGCCGTGACCTCAAAGCACCCCTCCGTATAATTCCGCGCAGGTTAATCGATTATCGGGAGAAAACGATTCGTGAGAATCAAGCTGGGTTTCACTCTGGCCGAGGATGCATCCACCACATCTTTACCTATGGACAAGTTCTTAAACAGCGGCCCTATTTTAAACGTCCTGCGTTGATCGTTTATCTCTATTCCAAAGCCGCTTTTGACTCCGTCGATTGTCAAACGTTGGCACTGTCTGGCGATCAAGTAAGGTGCTCCCAAATTTATATTCCTTTTTGCGGCACTGTATGCGAACTTCTGTGGACGGGCACGAGTATATGGCAGGCTTTCGTCCACGTCCAAGTCCGCTTGTGTATGACAAGGCTGCTTTCTCTTGCTTTTCCTCTTCGACCGTTGTTGATGTGCTACTTGAAGCTTCTGTGCCTGCTTCTAAAACCTCATGTGTGGAAATGCTCTAGGGACGTTCGCTCTCAGACACTGAGTATGCGGACGATGCTGCTCTCCTAAGTTCATACCCTTCAAAAATGCAAATAAGTCTAAATAACGTAAATAAATCCGCCACACGGTTTGGCATGCACTCCCCACCTACAGTGTAAAGTGCTGCTAATGGACTGGGTGGGTCGAATCCAAGACTCATGCTTGAAGACAGGCCAATCGACGTGGTAGGGAAATTTCCTCACACGGGTAATTGCGAGTCACGGTGAGTTGGCTCGAGATGAGATTACTTTTCGAGTTGGAAAAGCGTGGATAGCTTTTGCCAACCGCTGACACCTATGACGCCGACGTGATGTATTTGCCTGTCAATGGCACTGTGGCAGTGCAGTCCATACTATGTCAAGGACCAGAAACGTGGCCTCTATGTTCACAGAAAGTTGTCAGTGCTTGACCATCAGTGTTTCTGAAACATGGATCTGGCCTTGTGGGAAATTCGAAGCAAAACTGAGGCAGGACGATGATTTGAGGAAAAAGAGAGTTACCCACGATAAATGAATCACTCATATTTCATAGGTTACGCTGGTCAGGGGATGTACTCCGCATGCTGTCACGCAGAACTCTTTCAGCCCAGCCCTGTGTTAAGTGGAAGCGACTAAGTGGAAAATATGCGGCCGAAGCATGAAAATACAAACCAGTAAACTAGATCGGGTCGACAACCGCCGCCTCCTTGGATGAGGACTTCACTCAGAGATGGTTAATGACACTGGTTAGTGGCAGAAATGGTCAGATCGACTAGTCAGCGGCGCTCATGCACCAAAGCTATCGCCTTCGATACGTAACTAACCAGTTCCCGAATTAACTGAACATGCCATCGCTTCGCAAGGCTTGGTCCAACCTCCCACGGAAGCCGTAGCAACTGGAACCGATGTACTCTTTGGTACATTGTTCGCAGGTGATAAAGTGAACCTATTTGCAGATTAGCGCGTGAATGCTAAAGTTGACCTTCACCTTAGTAATCTCCAAATGAATCCAAGTGGCCAATAATTCGGAAACATCTAATAAAGAAATGGTAGCTACCATACGAGCAAAGTGCCTGTTAGCTGAATAGAACTTTTTGTTGCGAAGTTGGGGCGGAAGAAGCAAGGTGAATTGTCACCTCTGGATAGGCCAGTGAATAGTATCATGAACTTGCCTTCGGATGAAGTGGGTTTAAATCCACACAAGGGAGCTTTCTAATTGCCTATCAGTCCATCCTGAAACGGAATACACACTGGGTTCCCTGAATAAATCCATTAATTCCACCTGAGTTATTGTGTGGCCCACCAAACGGCTGAGTGTTTGCGTCTTATTCTTTTTTCAGACCGGATCATCGCACAGCAGAACTTACATTGTGGATCTCATGTACACACCTGGCAGGTTGATTGAGGCCACCTCTCGAAAAGCACTAGAATACATTAGCCTGTTTTGAGAAGATAACTTATTTCCTGACATTGCTTATTTTACTAACACTAATGGATATTTTTTGACGATAAATACGTTCCACTCACTCCAAACTTCATTACATTTTAAAAATGAACCTCTGGCTTCTAAATCTTTTAAAAGGACCTAAAGAGAGATACCATTATGGGGAATGCCCATGAATTTATTGCATCTGACGGCTCATTTATACTAGATCTGTCAGCCTATCTACTTACGAAGCAAATGCACGTAGAAATGTTACATCGTTCAACACGAATTGCCAAACACATTAAAGGTTCCCTTAACGCTTAGGGTAGGACTGGAATACCTAAGCGAATTGCTCCGTATTTCGAGTCTGTCTCTGAGTTCCCCACAGACACCAAATCCACTATGATCTTCAAAGCAGATGTACAAACAAATAAATAAATACATTTCACGATTTGATACAAGTCCAGTTACAAAATATAGGTGTCAGTGAGGCGTATGAATGAACCGTACACTTTCTAACTGGCACTTGTGAAAGGAAGAAGGCCTTCGCTGCGGAGTTATTAAAAAAATGTCAACTAGACTGGTTACAGATTATTGGACAGGGAAACACTTTCTCTCATATGCACCGTATTTACAAAAGCTGAAAATCAATCGCCTCTTGAACGTGTCTTCCTGAAATTTCCTGGATATTCATTAACTGTTGTTCAAATCCAAGCAAATGCTACACAGCGACTTCACACATTCCGCAATAGACCTCCCTTTTCAAGAGCCGCAGAGTGAACTTACAAGAAACCATACAACTCGCGTGACTCCCCATCAGTAGTATCACCGTTAAACCGGTATTGGAGTTCCCCTAAGTGTATGATAACAACTGTCAATGAGCCTCGATGTTCATGACTTCAGGATAGTCTAGGTGAAATGAAAATACCATTAATAAAAGACTGGTGCTAGAATATGAAAAATTCACTACAAATGATAGAGAAAAGAAAGCAGGAAATTCGGTGAAAACTTCTAGACCTACCCGCAACCCACAAGAAATTCAAAAATACCCGGACAGATGTGGAAAAGTCAGGTAAAATTATCGGCATCGCAATCAGCCCTCGTCATAAGTGCATTGACGATCTCTCAATGAACAGAACTGCTGGGCCACACCTTGTATGCATTTTGGTTTAATCAAATGCTAAAATCTCGCAATAAGTTATGTAGGAAGGATTTTTGAGATTGGAAGCATTTTCGGATAACACGTTGGGTAGCATAGTAATGCTGCTGCCTGCTTTCTACCAAAGCTGGTTTCACAAATTACAGTGGTATTGCGGGATCGAATTCGAAAAATACTCGGGACTCGGTACACGCCCGTGTAACATTGGTTTCATCTGCAAGAAGCTGCATGTCAGTTAGATTTAGTAGGCTCATACCTAGACGCGAATGTGATGGGACCACAATGTACCTATTCTCCAGTGGATCGTTTTGTGATATTCTTGTTAAGCTCTGTAGACTCGGTTTCAAGTTGACATTCTTTGGTCTTAGAGTTAAAATATTACAATAAGATGTCAATATTCCAGCTTCCAGAGAATACGCTTCCGTTAGTACGGCGTTAACGACGAATGTGTAGTAAGCATGATGATAACCACGGATGTTAAGGGATCCCATATAACAGTCTGAATACGACAAAGACGCCACAGTTTCCTCTACAAAAGGGTCAAGTGAACAGCGGTGTTAGACGCTGAACATCACTGTTCCACTCGCACAGTACATCCGCGTTCCCACCTTTAATCACCTGGCATAAACGGTCTTGTCATTTGAATCCTCGTAAGAATCATCATTGTCAGCTGTAATAACCGCGTACTCGTCGTACAGTGGTTGTAGCTTCCGGAGTTTCGTTCACCGATGATTTGGGGAAGGATAGGGGTAGGTAGATGCGCACTGCAGGCGGGAGCTGATAAATTGGTGCATAAATCCAGCACTGTCAGTGGGCTGTCAAGTGAAGGGGGGGTTGGAAATGGAGCTATGCATTGAAGGCAATAGCTTGGATGCACGAGCGCCATTGAGGGCGCATCGTCGTAAGCAGCCCGAAATCCGTCGGGCGCGGATGAACAAGAGCTCGTCTTCACGATGATATATACAACAGCGCCTACTCCTGAATGCGCTATTGAAATTCATCCACCATTACCACGCCACCCACACGGTTGGCTTGCTCAGTGGTTGCAATTGGGCGCCGGCGCACTGAGGTTGCATCAGCCGACTAAACCTATACATTCAACCTGTTGAAATGTGGCCGACCTAGTAATAACCAGCAGTCAGATAGGCGAGTTGACTATGCTATGTAAACATCAGTATATAGGGCTCAAAATTTTGAACATCTAAAAATGGCATAAAAACAAGCGGGTGCTTCTATTGAAGGATTGCCAAAAAACTGACCGACATAATTTTCCCCACAGGCTATTACAATAGGCTCACGTGGTACTGCGTGAACATGCAAAATACCAGATCAATGTGCACCCGAATACTCTCACTGAATGCTGTTGCCATACATCGACAGACTAAGTAGTAGGCTTAGAACACAAATTGGTTAGATTGAATGATGCTCAGGCAGACGACCCTACAAAACTTTGTTGCTTCGCTACGGTGATTAAGACTCCAGAACAAGTATAGGGGGAACTCACGTTTCGCACATTATGAGAAGGTTAGTGACGGAAAGCCGCTAAAATCATGCTCTACATGGAAAGTGTTTTTATTTCTGGGAAAAACGTAATTGTATCCTTATCTGTCATTTCAAAGATATACAGCTAGTCGATGGATTGGATGTGCGAACTCTTCAATGCTTGGACCCCTTACAACGTCCACCTTTGTGGAAAAGGACGGCGGCATTCTAACGCGGGTGAACCGTAAATCACAGTTATATTCAGTTGCTAGTTATTTATGGAAAAATATCTTCCCAATCACCGACAGCTGCCGAACAATACCATGCTACAAACGAGAAGAGGTTCTTCCTACCTAGATTCAAACTCCAAACATGGTATGAAGTTCATATGGGGGCGAAGCATGTAAAGAACGAAAGCAAGGGAAAACTAATCTAGAATGTCACTCAAATGCGAACGGAGATTAATATGGTCGTTGGTTTGTTCGCCGAGCTGGGCAACTTGATTGCAGACGTTTCATCGCCGATCGAGGTGACATCAGTGCGTTGTTACGGAGCGCAGTGGAGCGTAGCGATGGGTTGGTGGTTGTGCAGATAAATATAATATATTACAGCAGCCTGCATCACCTATAAAAGTAAGGTGAGATAACGTCGCCCCTTGGTGAGCCTTTCGACCTATGATAGGGTAAATAGCCACTCAATGTTCCCAGCCTCAAAATAAAACCACGGTGAGGCTATTTGTGAAGGACAAGAGCCGCAATTTTATGCACTTTCGACAAGCTGACCAAAGGAAGGAGGGGCCACTGACACTCACTGTGAGATGGACACAGGAAGGCAGCATCAGTGGACTGAGTCGCAGAAGTGTTTTAAGAGTAAACACCAACTACGACAATACTGTTCTCTATGATGGAGCGTACAGAGTCTCAGCGAACTGCACTGTCGTTTGATTACAGGTAGCTTAAAGATATATGTAAATCGTGAAATCTGCACTTCAAAAAACGATGGCTAAATAGACCTGGTCGAAAATCACCATGAAACTCCGTGGCGTCGCGCCACAAACACTTACCTCCCCTTTGGAAGACCGTCACGACTCATCCACACACAGAATTCAGTCACAGAGGAGCACAATAATGGTGCCTGGATGGTTAAGCATTTTAAATGAATGTGTCGCACATGCATTCCACCTTCCAGGAAACCACTTCGTCGATTCTTGCTGAGTGAATCACATCATTTCTATTCCATGAGATGATATGACTTAGCCACTAGGATAACCAAAATGTTTCTCGATTTAAGGATCTCTCCAATGAACCTCGCGGTATATCGAGAAGACTGGCACATCATGAAAGCATAAAGTATATATAAAAAACGGTCAATCTGAAACTCTGGCTGTAGGATCAAAATGCAAAAGTAGTAGATCAACCCATCAATATTTGCGACGACTTCCAAAAATATAGCCGTTATCGGTGCTTTTTGTTGTTGTTGTTCGGGTGCGTTGGTTGACTGCTGAGGCTCGAGAACCACGACCTCGTGTACGTCCCCTACTACGGTTGGATGAAGAGCTAGCTTCCGAGCCATCATTGGACAACTGATCATCAATCTTGAATCGGGGTTGTCTTCTCGAAAGTGTCGGTTCAGCCGGGGGTGAGTCAGCATCTTCAATTGCGGATAAAATGTGGCTTCCCTCTTCGTCGTCCTCTCCATCCACCAAGGATGTGTTCAAATCTATATGTCTACGGGACTTGGAAGATGTCTGTTTTGTTGCATGAGCCTTTGAGGCGGGGATCTTGGCACGAGCAACGTTGGAAACTGAACGATCCTATGGGATGAGATAATAGCAGTGGATAAGATGGAATAGTGATTATATTCTGATATTAAAGATCAGAATGGATCGATTCTCCTCAGCCATCATTGCTTAGTGAAAAAGAGCTATGAGTGTGCTCAAATGACACAAACGCCCACCCTACCTATATGGGTGAAATATTATTGGAAAATGGTATTTCAGAGCTATCTGCAGAGGCAATCGAGGTAAGTTTCAGTATTCCGATAGGAGCCGCAAGCGTCACCCTATTCATCCATCTCTCTGATACGACCAAAGTCAGTTTGTTTTGCGTAGGAGAGGAAGTAATATACCGAAATAACGTACCACCAGAATGAATATATGCGGAAAACCTGTTCAGTAAGATTCTTAAAGAGGAAAAGAGATTTAACCACTACCTTAGAGTGCAGTCATTTTAGGAAATACCATCATAGGCGGTGGCTGCTGAGGTACATCATCCCCATTCGGGTCTCCCTTGGGCAGAGACCACCTTAGAATCTTGTTGCACTTTTGACATTCGACATTATTCCAAAGTAAATACATCCGAACAGCGCACCCTACCTACATTGTTGGAAACTGAACGATCCTATGGGATGAGATAATAGCAGTGGATAAGATGGAATAGTGATTATATTCTGATATTAAAGATCAGAATGGATCGATTCTCCTCAGCCATCATTGCTTAGTGAAAAAGAGCTATGAGTGTGCTCAAATGACACAAACGCCCACCCTACCTATATGGGTGAAATATTATTGGAAAATGGTATTTCAGAGCTATCTGCAGAGGCAATCGAGGTAAGTTTCAGTATTCCGATAGGAGCCGCAAGCGTCACCCTATTCATCCATCTCTCTGATACGACCAAAGTCAGTTTGTTTTGCGTAGGAGAGGAAGTAATATACCGAAATAACGTACCACCAGAATGAATATATGCGGAAAACCTGTTCAGTAAGATTCTTAAAGAGGAAAAGAGATTTAACCACTACCTTAGAGTGCAGTCATTTTAGGAAATACCATCATAGGCGGTGGCTGCTGAGGTACATCATCCCCATTCGGGTCTCCCTTGGGCAGAGACCACCTTAGAATCTTGTTGCACTTTTGACATTCGACATTATTCCAAAGTAAATACATCCGAACAGCGCACCCGAGCTACCTACATTCCACAACATCTGAACTGTTTGCAAACACTACTGTGTTATTACTGGAATTCTTTGGGTCATATTTTTTTTAACGACTTCCGCTCTGATTACCAATAATAAAGACACACTGCTACCTATGGATTATCCCCCAATACGTAGCTTTCTAACTCCATTGTCCCTAGTACCAGTGAACGAAAATACGGAAGCATGAACAATTTTTCACAGTCGGTGAAGAATCACTCGCGGCAAAAGGAGCACTCTCCAACCATCGCCATCAGTGACAGCAATCCACCAGTATTACATACTGTCATAAAACCACGAGGGAAGAAAGCCTCAGTAAAGAGCGAGAAGAAAAGAGAAGGGTATGAACTTATCGCGAAGAAGCATTANATATAATCAGCGAGATGGCCCAAGTGGTTAGAGCGTGAAGTTACTGGCCGAAAGGCCCGTGGTTCGAACCCAACCTCTGCCTCTCGACTTCCCGTGAATAGGCTTGGGAAACCTGGCAATAACCCAGAAGCTACAGTTGAACGACTTTACGATTTTATAGCTGATAAATTGAATTAAATTGAAGTACGTTGTTACCAACTGATACATCTCAGTCACCGACGACAAGGAGAATTAGCGATGGACATCCACAAACTGAAACTGAGTTGCTATATCGGTAGAAGACTCGCCAGATGTAAATGCTTTTCCCACCTTGGACACCAGACTAACTGGATCCTAATCCGCATTCGGATAAGAACTCTAACCAGTTGGGAAATGATGTATCCAGCTTTGACTAAGAAAATTGAAAACAACCAGGACTCGATAAAAAACCTACAGCGAGCATCTCTTCGTCAGAGCTCCATTCGGTTATTTCTGCGTGGTGCGATCCTATCCGTGTGAACTTATCAGCGAGTACGGTTGCTTTTGAGCGGAAGGACGTATCATCTGACAAAGGTAAACAACCAACAGAGTGAGAGTGATAGGATGAACTGCTATTACGGTAAAAGATACAGGATCTGTTAGAACGACTATATAGTAAAGCCAGAGCTCCATTGTGTACGTGTTGTTACGTTTTCGGCTACAGTCGTACCCAAGCTAATCCATATTACAGTAAAACCCGTGTAAACACAAATTACTTCAGCTAAAGATATTGGATGCTGGTAAGCGAAGTTGCTATAAAATGAACAGATATCAATGTTCCAGGCACGTTGTGCGATTCTACGTAGTATAAAACCGAACTCACATGGTAATTTTGGTGACCAGACGAGTGCTCAAGGTTCAGGAGTAGGATAAATGGTTTTTCGCAATCGGTTTGGTCGTACATTGTGATGCCAATGCTATGATAAATATTGGAATCGTATTTATCACTCAAAAAAAGGTCAAGGCCTAAAATACATAGGTGTATTGATAGACAGTTGCAAGACAGGCAAGTACCTCCTCCTGTTTTAGAGCTGTCTGGCGCCTCTAGAGTAGAGCAGCCATCCTCATCCTCGCTTGCATTCGAGCTTCCCAAGCGTGTTTGGCAAAATGAAGTTATGTCGGGAACGATCCGCTCCTCGGGACACTTTCGCACACGCAAATATTTTATAGTTTGTCCCATTATGGATTCGACCACAAACTGAATGGCATCACGTGAATCTTTGTCGATGAACTGCTGGAGGCTGTGACCCAACTCGACAGGAGTAAACAGTTCAAGAGCAGAAGCATCTTCGGTCGTCAAAACACCTGTCGCGGAGCCGGACTTGGTTAAAAACCGCCTCACAAGTTTTTCCACCTCGACAACATCTAGACCAACCTTTTTCTTATCTGAACCAGTCACATCATCCACATCCACAGAACCATCCGTCCCATCATTCTGACCGGATCTGAGGGCTCGTCGCGCTTGCGCAGCAGCCAGCTTCTCACGATTGTGATTAAATGAAATTAAATCCTGGTGAGATTGTGTGGAGAGAAAACACATATATTCGGTGAGAACATGCTGCGAATTAGCAATGCATCAGATAGACATATGTGCACGACAGCGCACGGCTGCAATTACGCCGAAGAAACAGTGTTGAGTAACCAGAAATACCAAATTCAGCCTTGTATCGTACTGTGGGTAATCCAATTTAATGAATGGGAACAACCACGACAGCAATGACCCGAGGGGGTGGACTCTTTCCGCCATTGAATCGGACCCACATTTTGAATTGTTCCTCCAAAAATACCTGTTCAGCAAGGAAGAAACGGCTTTTGTTAAAATACCCCAAGTTTTCTAGCAAGCCTCCACATAGAGATTCCACGCCCTTGATCATCCAGTTTGGCAAAATCATATACCAATTGGACCACTCCAAGAAAGTTCAGTTCAATTATCCAGTTATCAGTCGTATGGCAAGAATAAGCCGGTCCCAGCTATTACGGTCTCAAATAACGGTGAAATGGAGGGAATAGATAGAGCCGTTTATTGTGGACGATGACGTGGTCCGCTAACGGTTGTTGATTTGTTCTAAATACATGATAAAGTGGGAGCTACTCAACTAGGGCGAGAGCTTCGATGCGGCAGAGCCATACCTGTCACTACGATTTCGAGCAGTCACACACGGACGTGAATGAAATACCCTTGAAACACTACTTCATCCTCTTTAAACGACACTAAATTGGGACACACAATCAGCTCAGCACCTGATTACAGTTTATCTCAGGTTTAATCATTGAGAGTTGGGCACAAGGCTCTCAATATGATCAAAACAATACAGAACTTTCCTTGAGGAAACTAATCATAAGGATAGTGAGAGCTCTCTGACAGTTATCTGCAGGTTTTGCCCTTCTTGGGACTCACCAGATGGACGCAGTCACCGAGTTTCCGTCAGTCTTATCTTTTAGTTGGACCAGAATTTTACGAAATTCGCGGTCAAAAACGCTCACTAACACACCACTAGGGTTTTCATAGAGAGATTCACCTGAACCCCAACCTTCAATCCCATCCTTCAATTGGGTGTGCTGCACAGATCCGCCGCACGTTTGTTGGTACGATATTCCAGGTATCACAGTTTATTCATAGGTTGCTGAAAACACTTTGACAACCCGTTACACCCTTCTTGAGGCAAATGACCGTATTTCGCGGATTTCGTATAATTCGGGTCCAAAACATAAGGCTGACAGAAACTCGGTGACTGCGCCCATCGGATGAGCACCACGAAGAGCAAAGCCCGCCGTGGGCTGTCAAAGAGTTCCCACTAACCATATGATTAGATTCCTTGAAGAAAGTTCTGTGACGGTTTGATGATATTGAGGGTCTTATGCTCAACTTTCAATGACTAAATCTGAAGCAGTGTGATCATGTGCTGAGCTGACTGTTTTCAGGCTAGTTTGTTTGTGTATCTCAATTTACTGTCATTAGAAGAGGATGAAGTGATGTTTCAAGGATGCTCCATAGGAGCTCATTGTAGCAGACATACATTACATATGGATCCGACTAGATTCACATCCGTATGTGACGGCTCGAAATCGTAGTGACAAACGTGGCATTGAAATCACTGGAGTATTGCAGTATCGTTAGCCTATCCCAGTGGTAGTATCATTACACCTTAGCAAGGTATACCGATACAGCCGGCAGAGAAAAACGAAGTGTGAATGATGTCTTATGAGCTGAGTAGCGTTTACCTTCCTGAATTGTTTATGTCACCGGAATTTCAGTTTTAGACAGCACAAGTTACTCACGCTCAAGTTCAGTCAACACATTTTAAGTCTTCCACTTAAGCCTATTTGCGGTTTTGGTTCTCATTCGTTTGGGTTATAATACGACAGTTCGATAAACAGAAAACGGTGGCTTCAGGATTTCCAGCCCCGAATATAATATTTCGGTACTGGAATATAAAAGCTACATTCAATGAATGTGGCTTCTAGTAAAAATTGTGTTGGTTCAACATGTCAGATTTTTACTATTCTCTATACAGGTTCTGGTCTTTGGTCGGTTCATCAAGTAGAACATTTCATGCGACGGGGTCAGTGTACGTAAGGCAAAGAATACTTGTCAGATGAAAGAGCTTACTGACGGCGGAAGCACTGCTTCGAAAGTCATAACAAATAGGTCCTCTGACTATTGAATGACCTCTACAGAACTAACTGCAATCAATTGAGAGATGGCCAGATTGCACCTACTTATTGCTAACCTGATTGCCGAGCTCGCCAACCGAGTGAAGACGCTCCATCACTTGTCGAGGGGAGATATCAAGAGTACACAATGGTGGTGTTTTGACTATCTTCGAAGTAGTTAGTGAATGAGTCATGTAGACGTTTATTACTGTTTGAGTGTTTGAATCTTGAACATAAAGAACTGAGAAAAGGTGAGAAAACAAATAGTTTGGATTCCGTTTGGGCTATTGCGGCTGCATTTAAAGCCAGAGTATGACCGTTCAAAGCAGTTAGTTAACAGGCCCATGAGGAAAACGTACTTTGGGATTAGCAACTCGACCTATAAACCGCTGTCCGAATCGGTAGGCACTAAACGACTCAAATCCACCGCTCAAATCGACCCGCAAGCGGATAAGAGGTTCAGCAGGAGGCTTCCACTCTACTGTTTCTTCTAAATCGTCCTCTTCCTTCACAGAGATCTCCGGACGTGAAGAGATCTTTCGACGTTTGTTCGGTACCCGATCAGGCTCCGAGGACATACCGGAGGGTGTTGACATCACATTCGTTAGACTGTCCTCCACGTGACGAACGCAAACCATTTCCACCTGTTTGGCTAAATCCAGAGAACCGGATACGGATTTCGTTATTTCATCCTCTAGAATTACGTCTTTGAACACAAAAGGCCGGACTGTCTGCAGTGGAACCCGAGTGATCTGTGCGAATGTACGAGAAAACTACTTGACACTAAAAGTTACACACACAAAAAACCGCCAAACACTCAAGTCATTACAAGTTTAATGAGCAAAAAAACAAGGGAGCTGGGAACAACAGTCGTCAGTCGGGTAAGCACTGAGAGGGATTTCAATCACATTCTCTGTACAAGTAGTTTTTTAATCGTCGTGTGAGCAGAAGCGTCACAAAGCCCAACAAACGTGTCCACCACTAATAGATGTCGCGAGACTGAAAGAAATGGGCTTAGCCACTACAAACTTTGTGTCTGTCTTATTCTTACACAACATAGACAAAGAACTTGAAGCAATACTACTCAAAAGGTTGTTAAAAACTCTTCGACAAAGTGCGGCCGGTTTCGCTCTTGGACTCATCAGGTGCCACAGTCCCTGAGCTTTCGTCAAGCTTACGTCCGTAAATTTCGAATATAATGTTGACGGAAACTCGTGGGGTACGCCTACTTTGGAGAAGGACGAAAGCGTTGCTGAGTTGTCGAAGAGTTTTCAGTACGCTTATGAGTAGCATTCCTTCAAGAAAATAAACTGCGACAACTCGAATATCGCCCCAAATGAAACATGGAGTGGCCTTTATGCAGCAAATTCTGCTGAATTATACCACAAGAAGGAGAGATACAGCAGGGGTTCAGTGAAGGATCTCGTTGAAACCAAATTGGTGTGTAAATGAGTGCACATCAAGTAAAGAACTGCTCAATTGTGGCATCTTCCTGAGTCACAGTCGCTGACGGGCCTGTCATGCTCTAACAGGACAACTCATCAGTCGTAGACCCCTCACCCGGCGCACTACTTTCAACTATGGACCCAAGCGACAGATATTCTGCTTTGACATGTGAGTCAACTAGCCGAGGGAAACCAAGAGTTAAACCTCTCCGCAAAAGCCAACGACACTTCGTAGAAAACAGCCTAACAAGCCGCAGGTCAACAGCAAGCGTGTCGAAGCAGTTCTGGCAGTGAGCGGACGAGATCATCATGGCCTGATGGCAACGACAGCGGTTCTGTTTTACGCCTAATATTCCCTCGCCGCTTTGTAAGTTTCATTTGACTGTGCTAAGATCGGAAGTGCATCATCAGACAGGAGCCGAATGACGCTAATGACGCTAAGGTGACATATGTAGCGTGGCATCGTAGTGATAGCTGATATACTTGATGCATAAATACAGGGGTGTCAATGGACTTTTATTGAGGAGATCGCGAGGGGCAATAGCTTGGATAAATGAACGCCATTGAGGGCGTGAGTGGGTCATGTCTGACAATGTCTAACCATTGATGCGTCCCGTCTAGGCGTCATCACCCATGGAGACGGCAATGACCAGTGCAATTGAGTTTACTGGTAATGGCTTCCGCCGCTAAGTTAGCGTTTGTCCTTCACTGGTTCGTGTCCACCCTTCAAGGGGTTGTTCTGAAAGAGCCCTTCGAGGAAGTCGGTTGACTGGCATATGGTGCATATGGCCAAGCCGGCACAATCTACAGGGTGTGATCGGTTGGACTATCGTGAATGACGGATTTTTGCCGGAAACCACTCGGCGTACTTCAGCATTACTGGTCCAATGTTCCTACCAGACTCGTCCAATGCTTCGAAGACATCGATGAAAGTTTTTTGGGCCCTCAGCGATCAGGGGTCAGGTTGCTGACACATACAATAGTATGAAGCGCAAAGCAGCATGGTAAATCCGGTCGCTGATTGATAAACTGATGTCACGCCTACACAATAGGTGATGCGTTCATGACGTTCGTAAAGTCTACTCATCCGCTCGTGGAATTTAGCTACGAAAAGGAAAGCATAACTGACATTTGGCACCAAAGACGAGCGACTGATACAGACGCAGCCATGGCGCACCAAAATATACAAAAGTAGCTAAAATGGGACCAAAAGACTAAGTAGCTCAAGCTTCAGTCAATGTTACGTCGAAAACACTGTCCAAAAAGGGTCACCTTTACTTGACAGGTCATTTGATGTCCGAAAATTAACCCGGTGATACGTAAATGCCGTCGAAGTGAATGTCATGAAGGTTAGTGAATCATGATCGATCACTCACCTTAAATTCTTTGCCACGCACTTCAAGCAGACCAACTGCTTTCTCTCGGGCTTCTCCCTCAGAAAGTATCGTGGCAACAGAACTACCGGGTTGTGTGACAAAAAAGTTCTGGCTCGAATTCCATTCCGGTTCAATGCGACACTCGTGTTCGTGTCCCCAAATAACCAGGTCCAGAAAGTTTGGAAGGAAATTCTCAGGCAAGTAACTTGTAGGGCCGTGCCTACTACGATTCTGGTGTACAGCAAAGATAGAAAACCAATTGTCTGGTTCCTCCGTGGGTCGGTAGAAAGTAACAAAGTTATTCAGAAACAGACGATGCGCACGCTCTTCACGGATTGCACCGAGCGCATACAAAGCCAAATGCGTTGAGCCCTTGCGCAATAATAGTGGGCTGATGGTAATGCGCTCCACAGAGGAAGACTTGCCAAGCAGGTTGACCAAGCCAGCAGAATGGAGAATATCCACAGCACACAGACCACCGGGACCAATCGGGTCGTCATGATTACCATGAATAGCGAAAACCGGGATGGAAACATTCAAATTCGGATCCAAATGGTTCACGCATGAAAATGCTGTGTTTGCAAACACCACATTCCCATCGCTCAGAATCTCGAACTGAACGGACTTGTCACCAAAGCAGTGTTGACGAAGCAGACGTACAGCCTCGTGAACCGTGTGCATTGATGGCCTACTCTCATGGAAGATGTCACCACCGAAAAAAATGAAGTCAACTTCATGCAATCGTGCCAAGTGAAGAATCTCTTCGAAGGTCCTGAATGAATCAGAACCACGAATACCGTCTTTTTCAGCGAACCCTAAATGGTTGTCTGTAGTCACTAATATCCGGAGGGTATCAGCGCTGCCTTCATAATGATCCATGGGTTCACCGGCCTGAAACGACAAACCATTTGGTAAGCACCGTTAAGAATAGTTTCGAGCATGGAAGACTGAAAGTCTTCTATAGAGGAGAATGTCGGTAGCTCAGGTGGCGACCAAGACTGAAAGTGACAGAATCCTCTTACATAAATGTTGGAGGTAGTAGAACATGCTGCTGTGTTGACTCATATTGGGGAAAAAGCTACGTTTGTTAGTAAGGCAGCTGAAGAGTTACATGTGTGCCCCTGGGAAAACAATAATAGTCGTTTAGCTATAAGACTCTTTCGGTTCCTACCTACAATTCCACCCGAAGGAAGCGTTGGGGTTGAGATAGTGCCAGGTTTCTCAAGCCTAGGTAATGTCCTCGAGAATTGAAAACTGTATCATTTGCGCTATATAAGGTGTCAGTTTAGGATCCGGGGTGGGTTATTACTACTGTCACTTCTATTGGCTGCGTGAGCATCCATTCTTTGTCTTTCCGGTCAGGAAAGCCGACATGCCTTACTAAGCAATTTCGGAGGAGGCGGCAGTTCTCATTAATATTTGAGTATCATAGAGGTAGTTTCAGGAATCTGGTTTTCATTGTTAAAAGATTATGTTTGGCGGCTTCGGACGCCAAAGGCTTGCTTGCTTAAGTGCTTATGTGGTAAAGAGCATCTGTACGAGAGGGACTCTTTTGCTCAACCGATTGCAAGGTAGACACGGCCCAGTGGAGGTCATATTGCCATCGCCCCCAATAGCATTTGTGTGAGGCCTTCGTGAGAATACTTAAGTGATGAGAGACGCTGACAATCGTAGATCGAGCACAGGTCCAGGAGTGTATATCTGGCTTACTACCTTCAACATACGGTCACATTCTGCACACATGTGAACAAATGGACAGCTTCTTCATTATCGAATCCACACTAAACAACCAACTAGTGGTACTATCACTTCCTGTGATGATAATGATAATCATAAACAGAGACAGCAACATCAGCGTTGACAATTCAACCCAATTCAATTGCAATTTATCAGTCAAAAACCATGTGCCATGGGCACATTGGTCCAGCTGCTACAGCATCGACCACCGGAAGGTGGAAAAGATAGAACCAAGCCTTGGAGGTGATGGCATGTTCAAATAGTTCGGGACCAAGGCGCAATGAAGGCGGTGGGTTTGATGCACGAGCGCCGCTGACTGGTCGAATGGACCATTTCTGCCACTAACCATCACTTGGGCGAAATGGCCCAAGTGGTTAGAGCGCGAATTTACTGACCGGAAGGTTCGTGGTTCGAATCCGACCTCCGCCAATCGACTTCCCTGTCTAGGCTTGGGCAACCTGGCAGTATCCCAGCCCTCGTGCTTCCTTCGGGTGGCATGGCAACTAGGCATCGGAAGGGTGCTACAGCTGACCGTCACGACGAGACTGCACCTTACCGTGGTGTGGCGGTTTGTGTACCTCGGCGACCCATTGGGCTATACTGGGGATTGTCCGCACGATGCTCCCAGAGTCTCTCACACCAGGTTGGTCAATGGTTAGAGGTCTGACGAACGCAGTCTCCTGGCCCTCCAGGTTGGGGGTTGGAACATGTATGGCGACGTGTCCCGTAGAAAAGATAATGCATTTGCATTTCCCCGCCAAACACCGCTGCCCTGCGGTTAGGCTTTTGAGCCAAAGGCTTTGGTTGAGGACCCTAATCGTCCTCCTGTCTAGGTGTGGGTGCCCTGGCAGTATCCCAGCCCACGTACAACCATGAACTGCGCATACACAAGTAAACTCATGCCATGTCGCGTGTTGACACCAGCCGAGTCGCCTTACTTGCTGCGTACAGCAGGGCGGGTAAGCGAAAACATGCTACTGCTGATGCCTCCCTTCTTACACTTTCATGTTTTCCTTCTTTCACCCTCCCCCACCCAAATTCGAATACTTTCTCCGCAGGTTCCAGCTCTAGGACTGACCGTGTTGCTCGCCCTGCATCACACTCAGCTGCAGCTTCTGCACGTC